TCGTGCTGTAAGCTGCATGTCTGTATGAGCGCTGCTCTTTACACCTGGTTCCTGGATGTCATCGACTGCAAAGATGTCATTCCACGCAGCACGAGCTAGACGCAGAACTCCCTCATCCAGGATATAGAAGTCCATGTGTGGTAGATTACTAATGCAGCGGTCTGGAGGCTGGACCACAGCAGAGTCTCTCAATATCTGTAGGCATGTCTCTACAGTTTGAACACACACACCAGTGCATGCTGTCTGAATACACACTCAAAAGACACCGGATGACTGTTTGTTGACTTTTGCGACAGTGCTGAGTTGCTTGTGGCCACTAGGGGCGCTAAACGTGAAAGTTGCAGGTCTAGCGCCGCCGCCTAGTGGCCCAAGAGTTACACGGTGTGCCGTTTAAGTATTGTTCCGAATAAAAAAAAAAAAATAAATTATTATTATATATTAAGTATATATAAGATATATATATTTATAATATATTATTTTTTTTTTTTTGTAGTTGTGGGATTACTTGGGGCAAAAGCATATTGATAACCACTGGATAACAAAAACATATTTTTTGAAAATATGTCGCCAGGGTTCTTCCAGCTTGAATATAGGACTAATTTTGATGCTCTGAAGTCCGAAAATGACCTTGGTTTTGGCTCAATCAGGTCAGGATGGTATTTGCGACAGAATTTATTTAGTTTTCTATCGATTTTGGCGCGTAAAATAACACATTTCTGCGGAATCATCAGCTGAGAAACCCTTGACGTTTTTTCCGTTTTTCCTCAAGAAATAAACAGTCAACGTATCCAAAGTCATTCAGTTTTTATTTACTCCATCAATTTGATATGCACAATTCATAATAACTGTAGTCGGTACGCGTAATCCGTTACACTATGGCTTGTATCTCAAAATGTTTTGACCTGATAGAGCAAAATGCATGTGATATTCGGACTCAGAACACCAAAATCACCTTTTTTTGGCTGTCAACTTGTGTTATCAATCGTGTGAGAAAGTATCACGATACATCACCTTATCGATATATCGTCACACTCCTAATGACAAAGATGTGCCACGGCTCAAAAAGGTTAAGGACGACGTGAGTAATCGCACCAGAGTTACTGTAAAGTCTTTATTAGACCTCTCCCTCACGTTGTACTGTCTCTTTAAATGCACAACACTCACAAACTCACAGACTTGTCCATATTTGAATATTCAAACATTTGCAATCGTTGAAGTTATAAATATGACATGTTTCTCTCGCTGCTCAGATCCCTCGGTGTCTGTCCCATTATCTCGGCACTAAATAATTCCCCGTAAGTGATTGTTGAACTGTGGATGTGAACCAGAAGCATGGACCAGGAGCATGGACCAGAAGCTGCTCGGAGCTCGCCCGTTTAGTCCACGTTTGCAGCCTCTGAATAATTCCTGGATTTTCTGTCTTCATTAAACATAAAGCGTTTTTGTAATTGATAAAAGTGAATATTTACTGTATAATTCACAGAACACATGGTAGACCAGAGAGGGACCAGAGAGGGAGGGACCAGAGAGAGACCAGAGAGAGACCTGAGAGAGGACCAGGAGAGAGATCTGAGAGTGACCGGAGAGAGACCAGAGAGAGACCAGAGAGAGACCAGAGAGAGGACCAGAGGAGAGAGACCAGAGAGAGACCAGAGGAGACAGAGACAGACAGAGAGAGAGTCCAGAGTGAGGACCAGAGAGAGGGACCAGAGAGAGGACCAGAGAGAGGGACCAGAGAGAGGGACCAGAGAGAGGGACCAGAGAGAGGGACCGGAGAAAGACCAGGCAGAGGGCGGAGAGAGACCGGAGAAATCCTGAAGAAAGACCAGAGCGAGACCAGATTCCCCAACAACAGATCAGACAATCAAACAGTTCAAACACAGGAATAACAACAAACTGGTCCAGAGGGAATGACCTCTTTTGAGACAAATTTTATGATTTTTTTTTTTGTCTAAAACCTGTGTCTGTTTGATGTGAATGTCAAACTGGTCCTGAGGGGAATCCTCTCGGAGCGCGCTGCGATGTTTCTCTGGTGCTGTCTGAGTTTCCAGTTGGATCGATGTGTAAAGATGCTTTTATCCATGAGGCAGGTTTGATGCAGTTCAAAAAGCTCAGTTCTCTTTTGGATCCTGCTCCGTGTCTCAGAACTCTGACGCTGCAGCTGTTTTTTGAAGATTCTTAAAGTCGCAAATGAACGTCGGTTATTCGCATCAAATGACATTCGCTTTTTGGTAAACAACTCTCTTCCATCTAGAGCTGTTACAAGCTTTGCCTGTCACCAAATTTATTTGTATTTCCGGTGGCGGCTCGGTGGCTGAAGTGGGGGATAGCACTCTCGGCCTCTCCAGCACGAAGGTTTATCCTGGGTTCGACTCCCGGCCGGACCAGGGCCTTTCATGAGTGGAGTTTGCATGTTCTCCCCGTGTCTGCGTAGGGTTCCTCCGGGTACTCCGGTTTCCCCTACCACTAAAATTATGTACAGTAGTTCGTGGCATGCGCCTCCTGTTCGGTCGGGACACCCGCTCCCATCTCTGCGTGGAGTGAGAAGACAAGATGCCCAAAAAAAAATAAAAAAAAAAAACTTTGGTGAGAGCCTTAGATGTCCGTATTTATAACATAAGTTAGTATGCAATAGTTAGAATCATTTGAATTAGATGATGGAATTAAAATTCAAATTACATCATTTTTAATCCGTTTGTGGGCAACTTGGAAGAGAGAGCCCAGGTTAGAGACGCTGCTCCGGCAGGGCTGGTCTCCTCAGTGAACAGGGTATGAGGACTTATGAGGTGATTCCACTTGGCAAAAACGTCTGGATCGTGGTGTTACACATTTGTTGGTGAATTGTCAGCTAGAGATATGCTGTTTTTGGCAGGAGCGTTTTGCAATGAACATCAAGTTATTAAAAGTCAAGGTTCAATAATATTTGGACTAGATTATACTAGTTGTTTGTATGAATGTTGCTGCAATAATCTTGGATCCTGTAGTACTCTACGTTACCTGGATCTTCTTTTTCACAAAAATGGACTGACGTAAGGCTTGATCTATAGAGTTATTGAGGCGTGCGTTCTATCCCTCCAATCAAAAGAGCTCTAATAAACGTGAGGGCAATGTAATCGTCACAGTCACTTTAATTAAGTCTGTGGACCTGTTGCACCAAGGCTGAGATCCCTCTGGGTGTGTGACCACACCTGGAGCCCCTTCCACGGCCCCATCGGCCACAGGGGAGCTGGGACACAGTTTGGCCCATTTCCCAAGGACCAACACGGAACTCAACAGTGGACCAAGTTTGAAAAAACAAATCTTGATAAATATATACTTTTTCTTTTTTCTGTTGTGCTGCTGACGAGAAGCCCCTGTTAATTGGAGGCCGGCTTTACTTAATTCATAACGGAGGCTCGGTATATAGAAAATGCTGTGCTGCTGCTGTTGCGTTGTTGGGGTTTGCATTTTTGAGCCTGTGCCAAAAACCAGTGAGAGCAGAAAGTCTATAAGGTTGTTTGCAATTACACCATGAATTCAAGACTTGGGTGTTCAAATCTGCTATCTGGTCGTCCTCCAACCGGTGCTCTGCTGAATCCTGTCCTGGCCCGAGACCCGCTGACCACTACCCGTCCTTTTACCACATTTAATCTTCCTGAGAAACCGTGGTAGGGCAGAAGGTGAAAGGGTCGGTGTATGAACACATTGGTAGGATTCCAGAGCTGGTAGGGGGCTCGCGCTGGGGCTGGGTCAGCTGTGGAGGCAGTGGGGCTGAGTAGTGACACGGGGTCATTGTTGAGGGGGGGGGAGGTGGACGGTGTACGGGCTGGGGTCCCTGGCTTTTGTTGTTGTTTTTGTTAGCATTGTTGAGCACAGTGCTAATGCGGCATTCCTGGTGCTGAGGTGTAGTGGGTAAGTGGAGAGACCAAAACAGCATGGGGTGAATCTTGAAGGTGAAAAATGGAAGTGGGAGACCCTAGTGCTTTTTGTTTTGTGTTTTGAGGCCTTCAGGGTCCAAGAAAAAGAATGTCTTTAAAGTCAAGTTTTAAGCGAGTAAAGTTTGGGTAGTCATCAGATACAGATGGTCATATCTTTGTTCAACTACAAAGCAGAGATGTAAACTTGGGTCGAGAGAAATGCTTTTGACAATAATCCTACTGGAAATTTAAAAGAAATGTTTTAAGCAATACAGCCACTTGTTCTACTTTTGTCTTGTTTTGCTGTTTTCAATAAATAATTGTCTTGAGTCATTTTTAAACAATGAGTGTTTTGCAGCTATTTTGGAATTACTATAAAAAGTTAACGAATACATATGAACTGCTGATCTATCGCTCATAAGAACAAAGAAAGCTAATTTTATTGTCTGTGTTTCTTGATTGTCTGAATTATGTTTTTTTCCCTAAAATAGGTGAAATAGGTTTTAACAAATAAGTGATCTCTCATTAAAAGACTAAAACGCAGTAACGTCCAAAGCAAAATTTTCTCCTTGTTTATCTTAGCTGAGAGACAATTGTCCTCAGAAAGGCAATGAATAATTCAGAAACATGCTTTAATCTCAACACGATGATGGAATTGTTCTCACATTTCCTTTTTCATTTCTTATCTTCATTTGTAAGACAAAGATGCACATCAACAACAACAAGCCATCACCCTCTGATTTATTGCCACGTCTTTAAAGCTTTGATTGTCGGCCATCAAAGACCGTTAAACGGCCGCTGACCTCTGCTCAGCTCTGAGCCCTGGTGTCAGGGGACACGGGTCAAGTGATGGTCAGTCGAGTGACAGTACCTGTGCTCCTTCATCAGTCGTGTACAGTACCTGTGCTCCTGAGATATTTTGAAACTGATTACAGTTAAAAGACTTGTTCTGGGCCTGCAGCTCTCTTGCCCTGAACCTGGACAGTCTTTGAAACTCGTTCTTCAGCACTTATGCTACTATCACTGCTACTTTGTACTACTACTACCTCTACTATTGCTACTTACCACTAACTATACTACTGACTCTACTACTATCACTCACCTCTAGGTTCTGTCCCAGCTGGGTCCAGGGTGCCGGTTAGCTGCCTGGGCACATCGACAGAAGTGAGACAACCAGTCTTATGGCCATCGTTTCCTCCAACCGCCACCATCATTCAACACACAACACCAGGACTTATTCAACCACAATTTGCACTCACAGCTGGTGTTCCCAGATGTTCTCCATCACATTACTAAACCAGGCCCTGCCATGCTTAGCTTTCAGAAGTCTGACAGGATCTGACTTTCACCCTGTAGGTTGCGCCCACAGTTATAACAATTCTCCACAGAGATTTAAAGGAACAGTAAGAAAACATTTTGAATGACGTCCATCTTGAATCTGTGAACCGGACACAAGATAAAGTTTAACAGATTCAGGTTTTACAGAAATGAAAATATGCAGATAATTCTTCATTTTACCAATAATTGAAAATGGGCCACTTTAGATTCAAATCACTTTTCCAACTAATCAGAAAGCGAATTTGCATCACGTGAGTCTCTTGTTTGGGTTATGCCATTTTTCTTGGTGAAACTCTGCAATTTGAGTCTTGATTCAGGCAGAATAGAAGCAATGCTAGTATTTGTCTCAGCTTTATCATAATTCTTACTGTGGGTCATTGAAGCTGTGAAAGTCTTTCTCACTGATGTAAGAAGCAAATTGAAATCATTGTAATAGATAGAATTTCAACATGACATTCCTGTACCTGCGTCAATTCACTGCAGAGTTGTCCCTTGCTAAATCTCTTGCCATATTCCTGCGACCATGATTTGCTATGCGTGGTGTTTGCTTATCCCTCAGCCTCTCTCCAGGCCTCCTCTGAAATCTCCTAGCGCGTGCGGCTACACATAAATATGCTACGCAGCGGCGCGGTGGTCAGGAATTAGGCGAGCTCACAAGAAGCGGCCAGGAGCGCCACACCGCACCGAGATCTCGCCTGAACATCTGCCCTTTTAGCTGCTTTTTCTTAGACTTATCAGGGACTTCTCCTTCCCTCTCCATCGACAGGAGACGGCCACGGCTCCATGCATCGATAACACTTTTTGAGTTTCTTCTTTGGTCTCTGGGTCAGCCACAGTTTGGCTCGTTACGGGGCGGAGTTCTCACAAACCCCAGGGTAGCAGATTGGACTAATGAGTCTGCGTCGCTGCGACCGTTCCACTGTTATCGTCCGAATCTGAAGCCGAGACGGAGGAGGACACGCCACAGGAAGTGCCAAGCGGCGGATAACGGTCACGTCCGCCACATACGGGTCCTTATGGAAATGGGCTCCCCCCAACTGCATCTGGCGTCTAAATCATGTTGTAACGATGGACGATAGCTCCTCCTGAACTCTCTGCTTTCATACGGTCCACAGTGATCGCTCAGATGTCAACGACTTGAGAGGATTTTTGTTTTGAATACTGAAGGTCAATGTTTGTTACGTTTAGGGCGGCACTGGGTTCGAATCCCGGTCGGAACAGGGCCATTCTGAGTGGGTTTGCATGTTTTCCTTGTGTCTGTGTAGGTTTCTCTGGGTGCTCGTTTCCCCTACCTCTAAAATCATGCACATTAGGTTTCATGTAATGAGGAGATGGATGGTGCTGATTGGGGCTTTGATGCCAGTGTTGTTTGGGGTCTCGCTCCGTCTTCACCGTGTGGAGGAGAATGGAACAATATCTGAACTCTGAAATTGTAGCACTTGGGTTGACCTTGATCTTGGAAAAATAATGTGTGTGTGTGTGTGTGTGTGTGTGTGTGTGTGTGTGTGTGTGTGTGTGTGTGTGTGTGTGTGTGTGTGTGTGTGTGTGTGTGTGTGTGTGTGTGTGTGTGTGTGTGTGTGTGTGTCTTTGTCTCTAAACACAGGGACAGAGACAAAGAGACAGAGAGAGAGAGACACAGAGAGAGAGACAGAGAGAGAGAGAGAGAGACACAGAGAGAGAGACACAGAGAGAGAGACAGCGACACAGAGACAGAGAGAGAGAGAGAGACACAGAGACAGAGAGAGAGACAGAGACACAGAGACACACACAAACAGAATCTCAAGCATACACAGCCTCGTAACCAACAAGAGACCAAGGTTTTCAGTGATGAGAAAAAGCCACACTTAGTTTGGTTTTACAGTTCTCTGGGAACAAATTTCAGTTTATTTCGATGTCACATACAGTGCCTTGCGAAAGTATTTGGCCCCCATGAACCTTTCAACATTTCAGGCTTCAAACATAAAGATATAAACATATTTTTTTTTGTCAAGAATCAACAACAAGTGGGACACAATCGTGAAGTGGAACGAAATGTATTGGATAATTTAAACTTTTTTAACAAATAAAAAACTGAAAAGTGGGGCGTGCAATATTATTCGGCCCCCTTGCGCTAATACTTTGTAGCGCCACCTTTTGCTGCAATTACAGCTGCAAGTCGCTTGGGGTATGTCTCTCAGTTTTGAACATCGAGAGACTGGAATTCTTTCCCATTCTTCCTTGCAAAACAGCTCAAGCTCAGTGAGGTTGGATGGAGAGCGTTTGTGAACAGCAGTCTTCAGCTCTTTCCACAGATTCTCGATTGGATTCAGGTCTGGACTTTGACTTGGCCATTCTAACACCTGGATACGTCTATTTGTGAACCATTCCATTGTAGATTTGGCTTTATGTTTTGGATCATTGTCCTGTTGGAAGATAAATCTCCGTCCCAGTCTCAGGTCTTTTGCAGACTCCAACAGGTTTTCTTCCAGATTGGTCCTGTATTTGGCTCCATCCATCTTCCCATCAATTTTAGCCATCTTCCCTGTCCCTGCTGAAGAAAAGCAGGCCCAAAGCATGATGCTGCCACCACCATGTTTGACAGTGGGGATGGTGTGTTCAGGGTGATGAGCTGTGTTGCTTTTACACCAAACATATCGTTTTGCATTGTGGCCAAAAAGTTTGATTTTGGTTTCATCTGACCAGAGCACCTTCTTCCACATGTTTGGTGTGTCTCCCAGGTGGCTTGTGGCAAACTTTAAACGAGACTTTTTATGGATATCTTTGAGAAATGGTTTTCTTCTTGCCACTCTTCCATAAAGGCCAGATTTGTGCAGTGCACGACTGATTGTCCTATGGACAGACTCTCCCACCTCAGCTGTAGTTATCTGCAGTTCACCCAGAGTGATCATGGGCCTCTTGTCTGCATCTCTGATCAGTCTTCTCCTTGTTTGAGATGAAAGTTTGGACGGACGGCCGGGTCTTGGTAGATTTGCAGTGGTCTGATACTCCTTCCATTTCAATATAACTGCTTGCACAGTGCTCCTTGAGGTGTTTAAAGCTTGGGAAAGCTTTTTGTATCCAAATCCGGCTTTAAACTTCTCCACAACAGTATCTCGGACCTGCCTGGTGTGTTCCTTTGTCTTCATGGTTCTCTCTGCGCTTTAAACAGAACCCTGAGACTATCAAAGAGCAGGTGCATTTATACGGAGACTTGATTACACACAAGTGCATTCTATTTATCATCATCAGTCATTTAGGACAACATTGGATCATTCAAAGATCCTCACTGAACTTCTGGACTGAGTTTGCTGCACTGAAAGTAAAGAGGCCGAATAATATTGCACGCCCCACTTTTCAGTTTTTTATTTGTTAAAAAAGTTTAAATTATCCAATACATTTCGTTCCACTTCACGATTGTGTCCCACTTGTTGTTGATTCATGACAGAAAATTTAAATTTTATATCTTTATGTTTGAAGACTGAAATGTGGCAAAATGTTGGGAAGGGGAGCGAATACTTTTGCAAGGCTCTGTATACAAGAACAATGGGCCTCATTCACGAATAACTTCGTAAGAAACTACTCAACTTTCTTCTCAAGTTGTCCTTAAGTAGATTTCTAAGAAGTCCCCACGTGGGATTCATCAACGCACTCGTAAGCCGCTGAATTGTTCGCAGCTGTTCTCTCAGATTGATGAATCCCATTTCCTCGTAAGTAGAGCGCGCGTGCCAGGTGCTTCATTAGCATAGGTACTTAGCATAAGTAACCGCCCACTAATGCCCATATAAGGGACTGCAGGGCCGTGTGCAGACGGCAGAGGAAACAGCAACAGGCCTTTACACGGAGCAAAAGTCACCCTTTTTTCTTCTTTTAACCAGACTGAGAATAAAGTTATAAAATGTTGACTTAAAAGTCAAAATATTATGATAATAAAGTCGAACTAGCAAAATTATGAGATTAATCTAAGAATATGATGAGATTAATCTCAAAATGTTATGAGCTTAATTTAAAAATATATTATGTATTATTTTAAAGATGAATCTCAAAATGTTTTGAGATTAATCTCAAAATATTTTGGACCCTGGGAGGAGATCCAGCGCGGACCAGCGCTGAGACCAATGCAGACCCGAGGAGAGACTGGAGTGACCAGCACACAGAAACCAGCGCGGACCTATAGGAGAGACCGCATAGACTGGAGTGACCTGACTGGAGAGACCGGTGCGCAGAGACCAGCGCGGACCGAAGAGAGACCGCATAGACCAGACTTGAGAGACCAGCGCGGACCCGTATGGATCCAGGAGCATGCAGCACGGACCCGTATGGAGAGACCAGTGCAGACCCGTATGGAGAGACCAGTGCAGACCCGTATGGAGAGACCAGTGCAGACCCGTATGGAGAGACCAGTGCAGACCAGTATGGAGAGACCAGTGCAGACCCGTCTAGATCCATGGGAGAGACCAGTGCAGACCCGTCTAGATCCATGGGAGAGACCAGTGCAGACCCGTATAGATCCATGGGAGAGACCAGTGCAGACCCGTATAGATCCATGGGAGAGACCAGTGCAGACCCGTATAGATCCATGGGAGAGACCAGTGCAGACCATTATAGATCCATGGGAGAGACCAGTGCAGACCCGTCTAGATCCATGGGAGAGACCAGTGCAGACCAGTATAGATCCATGGGAGAGACCAGTGCAGACCCGTATATGGGAGAGACCAGTGCAGACCAGTATAGATCCATGGGAGAGACCAGTGCAGACCCGTATATGGGAGAGACCAGTGCAGACCCGTATAGATCCATGGGAGAGACCAGTGCAGACCCGTATAGATCCATGGGAGAGACCAGTGCAGACCAGTATAGATCCATGGGAGAGACCAGTGCAGACCCGTATATGGGAGAGACCAGTGCAGACCCGTATAGATCCATGGGAGAGACCAGTGCAGACCCGTATAGATCCATAGGAGAGACCAGCGCAGAGACTCAGCGCGGACCCAGTAACCTCCTGCAGCAGCAGTATATATGCCGTTGTTCTGTGGCCCGTGGATAAAGAAATGCCCCCTATAAATAGGAAGGGGTCACTAATACACGGCAAGATTTCCAATGTATTTGATAAAGCGTTGGCACATTTCATTTCAAAATGAATTAAAAAGTAGGCCAGATCTGCAGTGAAAAAGGCGGTATATAAATAAAGATTACTAATAAAGATTACTACAAATAAATAAATACATACATCGATATGACGGACATATCACTGGAATGTTGTATTTTTATTCAACTTCACCAAAGAGGACAACCCCGGCGTGTGAACATGTCGGCACTGAATGCGTACGAGTCCAGTGTTGCCAACTCCTCAGTAAGGGAAGTAGCTATTGGCTGTCCCAAAAGTCGCTAGAAGTCGCTAAATGACGTCATCGCCTAATTTGCATAATTTGCCATTTGCAAATAACTGTAACGGACGCTGTAGGAGAGAGGAATAAGGTCGTGGGAGAGACAAAAGTGAGTAAAAACACCCTAAATATGTTTAGAACTACAAATGTACAAAAATAATTTCAACATTAACAACATTTAATGATTTTAATGCTTTGTCTAGATCCACATTACACACATCAGTTTTGTCCTGTATTGTTAAATGTTATAACAGCAAATGTAATCAAAAGATTGTTATGTAGGGTGAAATTGCTAGCTCTACAACCAACCCTCCTCCTTTATCCGGGCTTGGGACCGGCAAAGTGACCCAAAAGACACACTCTGGCAGAGTTACTTAGGTTTATTTTTGTAAGTTTTTTTTTTTTTTCATAGTTTGGCATAACAAATGATTTAATGTGACCCACTACTGAGAGAAAACAGAGTCACGGACAGAGCTGCCGCGGATGGAGTGGGGGGTAGTGGGGGGTGGCGGTGGTAGGAGTGGCCGGGGAGCTTTGGATGTGTGGTGGTGGTGGAGCTGAAGTTCAGTCTGCAGCAGCCTGAAAACTCCCTGTGCTTTTGAGTCTCCTCTCTCTCTCTCTGCTCCGCCCATAGACTGTAGCTGGGACTGCTGCGCAAGGCTACTGTGAGACTGGCCGCCTGTAATCAATTGTGCTTACGTAGGTCCACCGCAACCGCTAACGTAAGCCACGCCGCGCAAGTATACTTACGTTGCCGCAACCGCTAACGTAAGCTGCGCCGCGCAAGTATACTCTAGGCTTAAGTGCTTTGGGACGGGGGAGGGGCTCACGTTGAGGACAGCAGAACAATACGTGCTTCACGAGTCTCCAAAACACCAGATAAGTCGCCAAAACACCAGATAAGTCGCCAAAACACCAGATAAGTCGCCAAAACACCAGATAAGTCGCCAAAACACCAGATAAGTCGCCAATAACACCAGAAAAAGTCGCTAGATTTGTCGCTAGTCGCTTTTTTGAAAAAAAGTCGCTATAGGGGTCTGAAAAGTCGCTAAATCTAGCGACAAAGTCGCTAAGTTGGCAACACTGACGAGTGCTCCTGAGGACTCGTAGGATTTGTACTTGCCCAAGAGAAATTCTGGTTACGAGAAATATTCGTGAATGCCACTTTCTTCGTAAAAACCGCGTAAGTAGGATTTACGTACAAATCTGTTCCTAAGAACCGTTCGTGAATGAGGCCCATTGTAATAATCAAAGACACTTAGACAATGCAAAAAAATTAAAAGTAGAAGGTCGTTAAGTGTACGAGCAGTAAGAAGACTTTCCTGGCTTACCTCTAACTCATAATAAAGAGGAAATCACTGAAAGATCATGTGTATGTGTTTAGTTGTTTAACACCAGAACCCCTCCTCTTCCCACTCATCCCTCTCATCCCCCCTTCTCTCTCTGGACCTCATCTGCTCGACCTGTTTCCTCTTCTGTAGTTCTCTGTCCAGCTTCAGACACTGGACCCAGCTCAGATCTCTCCCCCAGAGACCGAAACCAAGACACGACAAAAACCACACACAGGTAACACAACCGACCGCTGTGAGTCTCTATAGATTGAGTCCTGTGTAAAAGATTTGGATCTGCTCTATTGATCCAAATCCTCAGACTGTTGATTATAGATCACATCTCACAGATACTTTTGATTCAGTTTTAGATCTAAAACAAATTACAAATGAATTGCATTGATTTGGTTATTGTTTGTGTAGAGAAATGTGTTCTTTGCATTTGCCCCTCAAAGGCAAATGTAAAGGACACCCCTCACTACCCGAGCCACAGGGTCAAACGCAGCCCACAGACCATGTTCAGTGACTCCTGAAATGATTTAAAGATGTATTATTTAATTATTAGTTAACTTACAGCATTGATGGTAGGTTAATATGAACTTTCATGGCATGCTATACCTCATTCTAAAGGTAATTCTCTCCTAACACATAACATATAAATATAAATTATTGGTAAATCCTTTAACTTTGACCCAGTTTGGGTTCAGTTTCTGTGTGTTTGAACTGAACCCAAACTGGATCAAAGGCAAAGGCTTTAGTTTTGTTCAGAAAAGTCTATCAGAACTCTAAACTCACCTTGAATTGAAGTAATGCTTCTGTTAAAATACCTTAATGATGTAAAACAGGTATAAACAAAGTATCCACACAGATTCAAACACTTTCATACTTTTCACTGGAGAAAACCGACATAGAAAGGTCCTTCTTGCCACAAAGCGAGGGGGGACCTTAAATATTTTACTGTTCGTTTCCAAACCTGTGGTGGTGTCTGTGAGCATGATAGTTACAGTTTAGTCTTGAGTGAAAAGACTAGACTCCCTCCATGTTACGGACGCATTATTACTATATTATGTAAGGTTTGGGGCCAGTACATTAAATATAAGCCAATTCCTCTGTAATCACATGAAACAGTTGGTGTCTCCGTCTGCTCCGTGTGTGTACATCGTGCACACCGATATTATTATAGATCCATGGTGCACACCTAATATTTACGGTCTACGGCACACCCCCTTCTGACATCTCTGACCTGCAGCTAACTCAGGGGCCGCTTCTCTAACTACAACACTCCGAAACAAACAAGAGACCAACACAGAGCAGAAACGTGCAGACTCTACTCCGGGGATTGGTTTCTGGTCACAGCGAAACACAAGAACCAGAGACTGTAGAGAATCAGAGCTAAAGGACAGAAGCTAACGCACACGCTTACCTCCGGCGTGGGCAGCCACTTCCTGTTATGGTCTGACGTCACTGATGACGCGCCACGCTGGGTCCTAAACTCCGCCTTTCAATATTGATAGAGACCAAGTATGTGCTGACACCAGAGGGAAAGAACAAAGAACAGATAGAGACCAGTGAGAGACACTCGAGGGACCAGCGAGGGACCAGTGACCAGAGAGAGAGATCAGAGAGGGCGACCAGAAAGAGAGAGAGATTAGAGAGAAACCAGAGAGAGAGAGACCAGTGTGAGACCAATGAGAGATCAGAGAGTGAGACCAGAGAGATAGACCAGAGAGACCAGAGAGAGACCAAAGAGAGACCAGAAAGAGACCAAAGAGAGACCAGGGAAAGACTAGGGAGAGAACATGTGGCAATACTGGATTGATCCGACGCAGGACGCATTAGAATATATCTTAACTTAATTAGGTAAAAAATAGGAGAATTTAGGACACACACACACACACACACACACACACATACACACACACACACACACATCAATATCAAAGTTTACAACAAGTGTTTTACAAATCCAAACCCGCATCAACAACATTAACTTTAATACAGCGCAGGCACAGTGTGTTCCTCCAGACTTTATTTCAGCTTGTACCAATTTAATTTTGAACAGAACATATTTCTTTATAGATAAGCAGCTGGGGTTTCGCTTTGTGCAGAATGAGAAGAGGAGTTTATCATCTGCAGCCAGAACAGAACAGAACAGAATCATTGTCTCAGAACATGGTGAGAGAAACTACAGCCCAGTTTACAGAGAAGACGAACATTATGAAGAACAAAAAACACTGGAAACTTATCTCAAATACACAGAGGAGCAGTGAGCGAGAGGCTAATGCTGTTTGAACTGAGCTAATGGGAACAATATTTGTAATTATGTCTCTTTCAAGTAATGGGAAATTCAATGTTTTCGTGTATAGTCTCAAATCACAGCAGCAGTCGTCTCTGAGGACTTATGGATTAAGTTATGGATTCACCAACAACAGATCAGGGAATTAAACAGTTCGAATACAGGAAATGCAATCATAACAATCACATAGGAGCCATTGGTCCATAAGTAAGTAATCTTTATTTATATACCGCCTTTCACAGACCAGAGTCACAAAGCGGTTTACAATTGTTATTTTTTGGGCTCTTGTCTCTCACTCCACACAGAGATGGGAGCGGGGCCAGTACAGGAGGCGCATGCCAGAACTATTGCACATATTTTTAGTGGTAGGGGAAACCGGAGTACCCGGAGGAAACCTACGCTGACACGGGGAGAACATGCAAACTCCACTCAGAAAGGCCCTCCCATAGGGAGCAAGATGACTGACTTAACTATTTCCATCTCCTCAATTGTAAACAAGCTGATCTCCTCTCTGGTTCTATGCCTGTGCCAGGACTGAGGCTGTAGACCCAGGACTGAGGCTGTAGATCCAGGACTGAGGCTGTAGATCCAGGACTGAGGCTGTAGACCCAGGACTGAGGCTGTAGACCCAGGACTGAGGCTGTAGATCCAGGGCTGAGGCTGTAGATCCAGGACTGAGGCTGTAGATCCAGGACTGAGGCTGTAGACCCAGGACTGAGGCTGTAGATCCAGGACTGAGGCTGTAGATCCAGGACTGAGGCTGTAGATCCAGGACTGAGGCTGTAGAACCAGGACTGAGGCTGGACTGAGGCTGTAGATCCAGGACTGAGGCTGTAGATCCAGGACTGAGGCTGTAGATCCAGGACTGAGGCTGTAGATCCAGGACTGAGGCTGTAGATCCAGGACTGAGGCTGTAGATCCACATGAACCTGTGTTACCTCTCTGTCTCCCCGTCCTTACCCCTGTCTCTCTCTCTCTCCATCTGTCACTCTCCCTCTTTCTCCATCTCTCTCCCCCTGTCTCTCTTCCTCTCTCCCCCCGTCCCTCTTCGTCTACCCCCTGTCTCGCTTCCTCTCGCCCCCTGGCCCTTTTCCTCTCCCGCGTGTCTCTCTTCCTCTCTCCCCCCTGTCCCTCCCCTCCTTCCCTGAGTCTCTGGTCTGTCCTGTCTCAGTCTCTGAGATTCATAATTTGGCTTTAGCTGCAGGAACAGGAGCATCACCAAAACGCAGCAGAAAACCAGAGGGACAGAGACCAGTCCGGACTGAAGCAAAGACTTGGACCAAACTCAAAACCCACAAGTCCACATAAACAGAGCAGTCCCATAGAGAGTATGGTTGACTGAAAGTGTGTGACATCATCACAGAGTTAGTTAGAGAGCCTTAATGCAGAAGAAGCCAGATTGAACATAAGCTGGAGCCAGTTTCCTTATATGGGCATTTGTTCTGATGGCGTTAGCTTCAGGCTGTAACCATAGACTGTAAAAATTAACAAAGGCAGACTATGGGGCAGACACGTCGCTAAAATGGTGGCTAAGGCAAGCTGGAGTTTACCAAACTGAGAGAAATATTACTATTACTCACTCTCTCTCCCCTCTGTCCCTACTATCTCCTCTTTGTATTCTCTCTCTCCTCTCCTCTTCTCTCCTTTCTCTTCCCTCCCCTCTCCTTTCCTTTCTCACCTCTCATCTCCTCTCCTAGATTTTACTAAAGCCCATAACAAACGAACTGTCAACATATATAATACATTATCGCCCTCTCGTGGTATATTAGAGTAATTACAGTTGATTTTACTATATACTATTGTATGTATTTTTGTATTATTTTAAAACAATAAAACCATTAAATTCTTGTGTAGACACATTATAAAATCTACTATATTTTTTTTTGATAATCTGTAATTCTTTATATTATTGTAAGGTTGTCTGTGATTGGTCAGTTCTGAAGCCGGCAAATGAGACATCACAGGCAGCTTCTTACAGACCCATTGCCCTAACATCTGTCTTGGAGGTATTGTCTTTGTTATTTTGTGTGCATAGTCCTGTGCTGAAACCCTTTTTTTTTCTTCTAAGTTTGTGGTCTCTGTAGTGGTATCTATGGAGGACTTTCTAATGTATGAGTTGTAGGTTTGAGTTATTGGTCATAAAGTCAATGGGCCTCATTCACGAATAACTTCGTAAGAAACTACTCAACTTTCTTCTCAAGTTGTCCTTAAGTAGATTTCTAAAGAAGTCCCCACGTGGGATTCATCAACGCACTCGTAAGCCGCTGAATTGTTCGCAGCTGTTCTCTCAGATTGATGAATCCCATTTCCTCGTAAGTACAGCGCGCGTGCCAGGTGCTTCATTAGCATAGGTACTTAGCATAAGTAACCGCCCACTAATGCCCATATAAGGGACTGCAGGGCCGTGTGCAGACGGCAGAGGAAACAGCAACAGGCCTAAAGCAACAGGCCACGGAGCAAAAGAGTCACCCTTTTTTCTTCTTCAGACTGAGAATAAAGTTATAAAATGTTGACTTAAAAGTCGAAATATTATGATAATAAAGTCGAAGTAGCAAAATTATGAGATTAATCTAAGAATATGATGAGATTAATCTCAAAATGTTATGAGCTTAATTTAAAAATATATTATGTATTATTTTAAAGATGAATCTCAAAATGTTTTGAGATTAATCCTCAAAATATTTTGGACCCTGGGAGGAGATCCAGCGCGGACCAGCGCTGAGACCAATGCAGACCCGAGGAGAGACTGGAGTGACCAGCACACAGAAACCAGCGCGGACCTATAGGAGAGACCGCATAGACTGGAGTGACCTGACTGGAGAGACCGGTGCGCAGAGACCAGCGCGGACCGAAGAGAGACCGCATAGACCAGACTTGAGAGACCAGCGCGGACCCGTATGGATCCAGGAGCATGCAGCACGGACCCGTATGGAGAGACCAGTGCAGACCCGTATGGAGAGACCAGTGCAGACCCGTATGGAGAGACCAGTGCAGACCCGTATGGAGAGACCAGTGCAGACCAGTATGGAGAGACCAGTGCAGACCCGTCTAGATCCATGGGAGAGACCAGTGCAGACCCGTCTAGATCCATGGGAGAGACCAGTGCAGACCCGTCTAGATCCATGGGAGAGACCAGTGCAGACCCGTATAGATCCATGGGAGAGACCAGTGCAGACCCGTATAGATCCATGGGAGAGACCAGTGCAGACCCGTATAGATCCATGGGAGAGACCAGTGCAGACCATTATAGATCCATGGGAGAGACCAGTGCAGACCCGTCTAGATCCATGGGAGAGACCAGTGCAGACCAGTATAGATCCATGGGAGAGACCAGTGCAGACCCGTATATGGGAGAGACCAGTGCAGACCAGTATAGATCCATGGGAGAGACCAGTGCAGACCCGTATATGGGAGAGACCAGTGCAGACCCGTATAGATCCATGGGAGAGACCAGTGCAGACCCGTATAGATCCATGGGAGAGACCACACTGAAAAGAATGATTTTAGCAGGTCTTCAACTTTATATAATATAATTAATAAATGTAACACAATTGGTTTGTATTCCTGAGTTGAATATAATGACATTAAGTAGATTTAAAATGTTTTTAGAGAGTCGCCAATATATTTATATTTTTCACGTTAGTTGGAAATGATTAAATTGTATTTTGATCACCGGAAGTCCCCCACACACTTTCCCCTGAGTCACGCACCTCAGCCGACGTCGTGCCGCTCTGCGCTCCAGTACAGAGTCAAGTCCATTCATTCTGCTCTAGAGACAACCACTATTCTGAAAAAAGTAAGTTGGTCCATTTCACTTATTCGTAAGTCATTTCCAGCTATCTGTTATACTTTTCAACACCATGTTGAAAAGTAATTGTTATCGCGCTTGCTAGCTAACGTTAGCTTAGCTATCATCTCTGCCGGCTAGTTGAGTTACAAATGATGGTGGGTACTTTAGTCTTGCTTTAAAACGCTTGCATTTCTTGTGATTTGATGCAAATAATGTTAGTGAGCTGTGAATGATCTTGGGAAAAGTTAATTGGAAGAATCGAGTGTTAGGTTAGCTTACTGCTAAAATAACACGCGGTCATTTCATGTCCTGTGGTTTAGCTATGAACAGTATCTGATGTAATTGAATTTTAATCTTTTCCTTCCATCACAAATATAGACAAAGGGGCGTTTACTATAGTTCAGGTAATGTTTTTTGGGGGCTTATTATAAAGTAGTTGCATATTGTGAGTATTTTCTCAAGTTTTAGCCGGCAGCAAGCTCTAAACATGATCCTATCACATTATTTCGAACGTGATTCGGTCACGCCCTTCCACATGACTTGATCATCCAAATGGTGCAAGTTCTACTTTGAATTGATTAAGTTAATTCTCTATGATTCCCAATTAAAATAATTTTTTTCATACACATCTATTAGACATGGCTTTCAACTGATCTCCTTAGATATTCAGTGGTCCCTCGCTATAACATCACCTTTCGCGGTCTCGCTCTTTTGGGGATTTATTTTTAGAACAATTTTGAGGTGACCCGCTCAGGATTTTCCCCACGCTTGTGATGTGAGGTCTAATCAACACTAATCAAGGCAGTGTTCACCAGGCATAAGTGAACTGAGGGATTTTACAGCTTTAAGACGTGTGATAATATTAATGGCAATAAAGAAAGTTAGCTATACTTGTATTTTGGGATAAATGAGGGACCACCATATTTTTGGCTAAGCTTGCACTTCACTAATTGCTGTTTATTTTCATTCACAGGCCTACTTGCTCGATTCTACATATCTGATCTTACAACACTAGTGGTAAGTCATGTTTCTTCTGCTGTTAGTGTTTCCCACAAATTGATAATGTACTTGGGTGGTGGGTGAACCTCATAGCTGGAATGACCTTTTTGGAAGAACTCTTGTGTAAGGAAACTCCTTGTTCAGGACCTCATAGGTTTATTTCGTTCCTCATTTTGTTTATAGCAAGGACTCCTAGCTTGCTTGTAAATCATTAGATGACAGGAGACAATTATGAATAGCATGCCAAATAAAAAAAGGATGTATGTCTAATATTACTAATGTTAGTTTTCTCAGAGTAACATTTTACTAAATGCCAAATTACTGTATTTTGTACTATAAAAAGAATCTTAAGTAGCGTTTCTGAATAGTAACATCTGAACCTGCAGTGACTCCTGTCTGCAGGGTTACTGTTGTAGCATTCCAGCTGTTACTAATGTAAGAGGCATAGCCCGGAGCAGCTGCAGATTTAGGTATGCACATTTAGAAATCAAACTGATTTTGTCAAGTTTTTTTTATTTATTTATTTGAGCTGCACTGACAAGTATTAACAATGTGTGGGAAACATTGTGTTCATACAAAATGGAAATTGACTTTTTGAAAGGGTGTGTTTGTGTCAGTATTTTATATCACACACTATTGGATTCGTTACTTCAATACAGACGGTCAATGTCTGTTAGTCTGGTGTTTTCCTCCAACCTGACCTCCTTTGTCCTTTTGCCCCTTTTCAGATAAATTCAGAATTCAAAAGGATCACCACCGTCCCATTGCAGTGCAAGTTCCTGTACAGACTGGATCTCTACTCCGCTAAGCTGAGTGAGCTGTTTCTAAAGAGAGGGGGGCAGTTGGGCCAAAAGCTCAAAAGTCTCATGGCACCAGTGACCGATGTAAGTGGTCTCCTTCCCCTTTAATGCTATATGGCTCAAGTCAGCTCATGGCTCCTTGGACAGACCTTAAAAAAATGTGTATCATCTGAGCTAAGCTAACTCTAGATAAAAGCTCCGACCACACGGCTACTGTAAAAATGTATAACTGGTGATACCTTAATAGTTAATTACTATTACTACAGTAATTCATTACTGCAGTTGATATTTCTTTACCGCTGGTTATGTCCTTTCAGGGTGTCAGTGTGCATGTGAGGCGAGAGTGCATCCTAAAGGGACTCTGTGCGTATATGGGCGAAGACCACGAACAGCTGGTTCGGGAATATATGGTATGTAAAAAATAACCACCACCCTTACCCCACCCTCATCCTCCCTCATCCATACCTTACGCACCACTTACTCCAATTCAGCCCTAAAAAAATCTCTGAAATATATTATACAGCCCTCACCCTAGTCTTATGTATCTAATTTATTTGATAACCTGGGGTTTGTGGGATGACAATCAGCGACTCCAAATCTGAGGCGATGGTGCTTGAGCCCAGAAAGGTGCTTTGACCCCTCCAGGTGGGTGGAGTGTCTTTGCCTCAAGTCGAGGATTTGGGGCATGTCTACAAATTTTTTTTAAGAGACTACATTGCTCAAAGAAAAGTTGGAACTGGAATTTTTGAAGAGACTATGTTGCCAAGGCAAGGGATCCCTAGCCTTGATCATTGATGTAATTTTCTCTTATTAATGACTTGCTTTTTCATATCTTTGTTTTACAGCACTTGGATGAAAACAGTAATGAGGCCATAGAACAGACTACATGTGGAATCTACATTTTCCGAGCAGATGAAGAAAGCACTGACATTGGGATTGTCCTCGAAGGAATTAAGGTCATAGACTCTCTGGACAGTGTAGCATTGGCTACTGCGATGCTTTTTGGACTCATCTATGCACTCAACCTACAGTACCCTACATTCCTCCGCTACACCTTTGAGGTGTTTCAATAAATATTCATGGAACTGGATGGAGGCAAACTTTCGAACAAGGCACTTGTACTGAAAAACAGGCTTTTTCAGTGACTCTGAAAGTGCCTCTACAGACCTCAGACCAACCTCATTCAGACCTACACTCCTCATTCAGACCTACACTCCTCATTCAGACCTCATTCAGACCTACACTCCTCATTCAGACCTACACTCCTCATTCAGACCTCATTCAGACCTACACTCCTCATTCAGACCTCATTCAGACCTACACTCCTCATTCAGACCTCATTCAGACCTCATTTAGACCTACACTCCTCATTCAGACCTCATTCAGACCTACACTCCTCATTCAGACCTCATTCAGACCTACACTCCTCATTCAGACCTCATTCAGACCTACACTCCTCATTCAGACCTCATTCAGACCTACACTCCTCATTCAGACCTCATTCAGACCTACACTCCTCATTCAGACCTCATTTAGACCTACACTCCTCATTCAGACCTACACTCCTCATTCAGACCTCATTCAGACCTACACTCCTCATTCAGACCTCATTCAGACCTACACTCCTCATTCAGACCTACACTCCTCATTCAGACCTCATTCAGACCTACACTCCTCATTCAGACCTCATTCAGACCTACACTCCTCATTCAGACCTCATTCAGACCTACACTCCTCATTCAGACCTACACTCCTCATTCAGACCTACACTCCTCATTCAGACCTCATTAGACCTACACTCCTCATTCAGACCTCATTCAGACCTCACTCCTCATTCAGACCTCATTCAGACCTACACTCCTCATTCAGACCTCATTCAGACCTACACTCCTCATTCAGACCTCATTCAGACCTACACTCCTCATTCAGACCTCATTCAGACCTACACTCCTCATTCAGACCTCATTCAGACCTACACTCCTCATTCAGACCTCATTCAGACCTACACTACACTCAGACTCATTCAGACCTCATTCATTCAGACCTCACTCCTCATTCAGACCTCATTCAGACCTACACTCCTCATTCAGACCTCATTCAGACCTACACTCCTCATTCAGACCTACACTCCTCATTCAGACCTCATTCAGACCTACACTCCTCATTCAGACCTCATTCAGACCTACACTCCTCATTCAGACCTACACTCCTCATTCAGACCTCATTCAGACCTACACTCCTCATTCAGACCTCATTCAGACCTCATTCAGACCTACACTCCTCATTCAGACCTCATTCAGACCTACACTCCTCATTCAGACCTCATTCAGACCTACACTCCTCATTCAGACCTACACTCCTCATTCAGACCTCATTCAGACCTACACTCCTCATTCAGACCTCATTCAGACCTACACTCCTCATTCAGACCTACACTCCTCATTCAGACCTCATTCAGACCTACACTCCTCATTCAGACCTCATTCAGACCTACACTCCTCATTCAGACCTACACTCCTCATTCAGACCTACACTCCTCATTCAGACCTACACTCCTCATTCAGACCTCATTTAGACCTACACTCCTCATTCAGACCTCATTCAGACCTACACTCCTCATTCAGACCTACACTCCTCATTCAGACCTACACTCCTCATTCAGACCTCATTCAGACCTCATTCAGACCTACACTCCTCATTCAGACCTACACTCCTCATTCAGACCTCATTTAGACCTACACTCCTCATTTAGACCTACACTCTCATTCAGACCTACACTCCTCATTCAGACCTACACTCCTCATTCAGACCTACACTCCTCATTCAGACCTACACTCCTCATTCAGACCTCATTCAGACCTACACTCCTCATTCAGACCTCATTTAGACCTACACTCCTCATTCAGACCTCATTCAGACCTACACTCCTCATTCAGACCTACACTCCTCATTCAGACCTACACTCCTCATTCAGACCTCATTTAGACCTACACTCCTCATTCAGACCTCATTCAGACCTACACTCCTCATTCAGACCTCATTCAGACCTACACTCCTCATTCAGACCTCATTCAGACCTACACTCCTCATTCAGACCTACACTCCTCATTCAGACCTCATTCAGACCTACACTCCTCATTCAGACCTACACTCCTCATTCAGACCTCATTTAGACCTACACTCCTCATTCAGACCTCATTCAGACCTACACTCCTCATTCAGACCTCATTCAGACCTACACTCCTCATTCAGACCTACACTCCTCATTCAGACCTACACTCCTCATTCAGACCTCATTCAGACCTACACTCCTCATTCAGACCTACACTCCTCATTCAGACCTCATTCAGACCTACACTCCTCATTCAGACCTCATTCAGACCTCATTCAGACCTACACTCCTCATTCAGACCTACACTCCTCATTCAGACCTCATTCAGACCTACACTCCTCATTCAGACCTCATTCAGACCTACACTCCTCATTCAGACCTACACTCCTCATTCAGACCTCATTCAGACCTACACTCCTCATTCAGACCTCATTCAGACCTCATTCAGACCTACACTCCTCATTCAGACCTACACTCCTCATTCAGACCTCATTCAGACCTACACTCCTCATTCAGACCTCATTCAGACCTACACTCCTCATTCAGACCTACACTCCTCATTCAGACCTCATTCAGACCTACACTCCTCATTCAGACCTCATTCAGACCTACACTCCTCATTCAGACCTCATTTAGACCTACACTCCTCATTCAGACCTCATTCAGACCTACACTCCTCATTCAGACCTCATTCAGACCTACACTCCTCATTCAGACCTCATTCAGACCTACACTCCTCATTCAGACCTCATTCAGACCTACACTCCTCATTCAGACCTCATTTAGACCTACACTCCTCATTCAGACCTCATTCAGACCTACACTCCTCATTCAGACCTCATTTAGACCTACACTCCTCATTCAGACCTCATTCAGACCTACACTCCTCATTCAGACCTCATTTAGACCTACACTCCTCATTCAGACCTCATTCAGACCTACACACCATATAGAGCACACACATACACTATATAATGTTGTGTATTTCAAGGTTCTTGCAGGTCTCTGCTTTTTGGTGCCGGTTCCGTAACAGTTCTTTATTCGTTACTTGTTATTGTATTTAGAACAGAATAGAAACAGAAGCGATACCGGCCGCAGCAGCGTCACCTGTAAGTGTTTTGAGACATTTCCTTCTAAGGACATTATTACTTCCTGAGCTGCAGACTGCTCAGTCCGTGTGTTACGGGAAAATGTTTTCTGTGTTGGTTCCATGGATCATTGTTGTTCTCAGGTTGCTGAAAATTCACTTTCAATAAAGAGTTATTTAAATATTTAACTTTGATCCTCCTTTTTCAAATGATCTATTGTTTTGTACAGTATTTATTCACACATGCTGCCAATACATTTTTATAGATATTTAAACGAGAGGAATTTCTGATTTAAGGTTGATGCATTGGGATAACACAGCTATTGAATCACGTTAAAGTTACAAATAAAAATTGAGTACACTGTACATCATGAATTTATTCCATGATACAAACAAAATATGTAACTGTAACTGATTCAGAATGTATAGGATCAACATCATTTTTATCATAACCTCAATGTGATTAAATTGTTTATATTTCACAAATAATAATTGAGTAATCTCAACACATAATTGTTACATAAACTTAATGGGCTAATAATACATAGAGGCAAAATGAATTTTTCACGATTCATGATGTGAATGAGTCATTTTGGTTTGACGTATTCAGATTACGTGGGACCGATGTACGCATTAAAATCATGTAAATTCAACAAGTTTTTTTTTTCAGTGCAGTGCAGATCCGTATAGATCCACGGGAGAGACCAGCGCAGACCCGTCTAGATCCATAGGAGAGACCAGCGCAGACCCGTATAGATCCATGGGAGAGACCAGCGCAGACCCGTATAGATCCATGGGAGAGACCAGTGCAGACCCGTATAGATCCATAGGAGAGACCAGTGCAGACCAGTATAGATCCATGGGAGAGACCAGTGCAGACCCGTATAGATCCATGGGAGAGACCAGTGCAGACCCGTATAGATCCATAGGAGAGACCAGCGCAGAGACTCAGCGCGGACCCAGTAACCTCCTGCAGCAGCAGTATATATGCCGTTGTTCTGTGGCCCGTGGATAAAGAAATGCCCCCTATAAATAGGAAGGGGTCACTAATACACGGCAAGATTTCCAATGTATTTGATAAAGCGTTGGCACATTTCATTTCAAAATGAATTAAAAAGTAGGCCAGATCTGCAGTGAAAAAGGCGGTATATAAATAAAGATTACTAATAAAGATTACTACAAATAAATAAATACATACATCGATATGACGGACATATCACTGGAATGTTGTATTTTTATTCAACTTCACCAAAGAGGACAACCCCGGCGTGTGAACATGTCGGCACTGAATGCATACGAGCACTCGTAGGATTTGTACTTGCCCAAGAGAAATTCTGGTTACGAGAAATATTCGTGAATGCCACTTTCTTCGTAAAAACCGCGTAAGTAGGATTTACGTACAAATCTGTTCCTAAGAACCGTTCGTGAATGAGGCCCAATGTTGGGTCCAGAAATTGGCATCGGGAGCAAATGCTAAGTCTCACTGCCATCGCTTTATTGGAAGCGAGTGGGTGGTGTCAATGCTTGTAAGTAATGTGTATATTTTGGAGCTAAAGTTTTTGGGAGCAAGCTTCAGAAGATCTGTGATTAATGGGCCCAGGTTCATTGGGCCTCATTCACGAATAACTTCGTAAGAAACTACTCAACTTTCTTCTCAAGTTGTCCTTAAGTAGATTTCTAAAGAAGTCCCCACGTGGGATTCATCAACGCACTCGTAAGCCGCTGAATTGTTCGCAGCTGTTCTCTCAGATTGATGAATCCCATTTCCTCGTAAGTACAGCGCGCGTGCCAGGTGCTTCATTAGCATAGGTACTTAGCATAAGTAACCGCCCACTAATGCCCATATAAGGGACTGCAGGGCCGTGTGCAGACGCCAGAGGAAACAGCAACAGGCCTAAAGCAGGCTTTTGCCAGACTGAGAATAAAGTTATAAAATGTTGACTTAAAAGTCGAAATATTATGATTATAAAGTCGAACTAGCAAAATTATGAGATTAATCTAAGAATATGATGAGATTAATCTCAAAATGTTATGAGCTTAATTTAAAAATATATTATGTATTATTTTAAAGATGAATCTCAAAATGTTTTGGACCCTGGGAGGAGATCCAGCGCGGACCAGCGCTGAGACCAATGCAGACCCGAGGAGAGACTGGAGTGACCAGCACACAGAAACCAGCGCGGACCTATAGGAGAGACCGCATAGACTGGAGACACCTGACTGGAGAGACCGGTGCGCAGAGACCAGCGCGGACCGAAGATAGACCGCATAGACCAGACTTGAGAGACCAGCGCGGACCCGTATGGATCCATGGGAGAGACCAGCGCAGACCCGTATAGATCCATGGGAGAGACCAGTGCAGACCCGTATAGATCCATGGGAGAGACCAGTGCAGACCCGTATAGATCCATAGGAGAGACCAGCGCAGAGACTCAGCGCGGACCCAGTAACCTCCTGCAGCAGCAGTATATATGCCGTTGTTCTGTGGCCCGTGGATAAAGAAATGCCCCCTATAAATAGGAAGGGGTCACTAATACACGGCAAGATTTCCAATGTATTTGATAAAGCGTTGGCACATTTCATTTCAAAATGAATTAAAAAGTAGGCCAGATCTGCAGTGAAAAAGGCGGTATATAAATAAAGATTACTAATAAAGATTACTACAAATAAATAAATACATACATCGATATGACGGACATATCACTGGAATGTTGTATTTTTATTCAACTTCACCAAAGAGGACAACCCCGGCGTGTGAACATGTCGGCACTGAATGCATACGAGTGCTCCTGAGGACTCGTAGGATTTGTACTTGCCCAAGTGAAATTCTGGTTACGAGAAATATTCGTGAATGCCACTTTCTTCGTAAAAACCGCGTAAGTAGGATTTACGTACAAATCTGTTCCTAAGAACCGTTCGTGAATGAGGCCCATTGTTTGGATATTGATTTTATTTACGATTATTATCTTAATTGTGAGTATTCTAGGAAGCATTTGCTGCCAATGCCATATTCCTGTTGTGTGAGTGATGACAGAGTGTTAGTTATAATGTGACCTCAGTGTTACCTTTACTTGCCCAGGATTTAAATATGAATAGGAGACATATTGCTAAATACAAAAGGTTTTATTTCTGCTAAAAAAAACAGGAAAAATGTTTAGACATTTCACAGAAAGTGATGCATCAGAACCTCCCTGACATCTTTGTCCCCCTCATCCGCCCCCTGTGCCAATGCTACTGCAGGCTGTAACTGTTGCTACAGGCATGTCCCATTCTGTCACGTGGGTCTCTCCATGATTTTCGCAGATTGTGCAGAGCACAGCAAGCCAGCACCATTGACTTTACCAGTTCAGTGTCAGTCATTCCTTCTCAGAAAACAGCGCAGTCTTCCTTTAACAAACTGGTGTGTGTGTGTGTTAGCCTGTTTCATCTGTATTTCAGGTTTTGTTAACCAGTTTTAGCACTTGTTTTACTAAATATGGTGGAAAAGTAAATATTTTTTAGGGGCCGCAGGAACAATAGTGTGTGACTGTTCTCCTTTGGTTACAAGAAACACAACACTTCAACACAAACTTATTATGATTGAAATAAGAAAAGAAAGTACAATTGAATCTGACATGGATGGATCCTGAGTTGGATTTTATTGTGACTACATCTAAATTTCTTCAGTGTGTCTTCAGTTAAGCTTTCTCTATCCCTCAGTTGTTCTGGGCACATCTGGACACATCCATTCATTTTCTCCCTATTTCTCCTGGGCCGGGTCACAGAGGCAGCAGTCTGAGCAGAGTGGCCCAGACTCCCCTCTTCACACAGACCTCCTGAAGCTGGATCAGGCATCCCCAGCCTCAGACTCGGCTCCCTCTTCACCACAACAGTCCCATACAGAGGCAGCATCACGGCAGACGCTACTCCTTCCCTCGCAGTGAACAAGACCAGGGACACTTGAACTCCATCACCAGAGGAAGGAGCTCTCAGCACCTGGAGAGGTTAAGACGTCTGCCTCCGGTCCAGTACCCTGTCCTCGTATTCAGAGGGGCTGAGTTCCGTAGGGAGGCCCATCTGCACATTTCTTTTGGTCAGTTTCTCTGTTTGGTCCAACTGCTCCTCAGCGCCTGCAGTAACAAGAAAACACAAGAATGGTGTTGTTGAAATCTTGTTGTAAATCCTCACAGATTTGCTGGAGGTACTTTACTCTCACCTGTGTTGGAGCTTGTCCTAGTTCCGGCGGCTCTCAGCAGACATGGCTCTGGTCTTATCTACACTGGTAAACTGTGGGCTGTGGTCAGGTGCAGAGGGTGTAGCTGTCTGTGGTGCTGAGCTGGTGGAGGCCCCACTGCTCCGGTTGTCTTCTAAAAGTTGCTCTGGGCCCCCGCTCCACTCACATCATAGTCTGCCAGATGAAAAGGCACTGGAGAACGTCTTACAGGTCCAAGGCCACGTGCTCCTGGCTCTGGGTTCTGCATCTTTAAACATCTGCATCTGACGACAAAGGACCAGTGGAAAAGAGCATTGAGAGTATTGTTGCTGGTTGGAGAATGCAACAGAACTGTGCTAAATCCTCTCATCACCTCTAACGCTTCTTCTTGATGTGAAGGAGCAGCGGCTCTAGTCAGAAGCAAACTAATTTAGAGCCCTGTATCTGCCATCTTGTCCTTTGAGCCATTTTCCAAAGCTCATGGTGGGAACATACAGAGCAGTAAATCCAGAGCTTTCACTGTAGACGCTGCTCCCTCTTCACCACGACAGTCTGATACAGCTCTGACTGAAGACGCTGCTCCCTCTTCACCACAACAGTCTGATACAGCTCTGACTGTAGACGCTGCTCCCTCTTCGCTACAACAGTCTGATACAGCTCTGACTGTAGACGCTGCTCCCTCTTCACTACAACAGTCTGATACAGCTCTGACTGTAGACGCTGCTCCCTCTTCACTACAACAGTCTGATACAGCTCTGACTGTAGACGCTGCTCCCTCTTCACTACAACAGTCTGATACAGCTCTGACTATAGACGCTGCTCCCTCTTCGCTACAACAGTCTGATACAGCTCTGACTGTAGACGCTGCTCCCTCTTCACTACAACAGTCTGATACAGCTCTGACTGTAGACGCTGCTCCCTCTTCACTACAACAGTCTGATACAGCTCTGACTATAGACGCTGCTCCCTCTTCGCTACAACAGTCTGATACAGCTCTGACTGTAGACGCTGCTCCCTCTTCACTACAACAGTCTGATACAGCCCTGACTGTAGACGCTGCTCCCTCTTCACTACAACAGTCTGATACAGCTCTGACTGTAGACGCTGCTCCCTCTTCACTACAACAGTCTGATACAGCTCTGACTGTAGACGCTGCTCCCTCTTCACCACAACAGTCTGATACAGCTCTGACTGCAGACGCTGCTCCCTCTTCACTACAACAGTCTGATACAGCTCTGACTGTAGACGCTGCTCCCTCTTCACTACAACAGCGTCAGAGTGAATCAGGAGAATGATTCTGTTCATCTTGTTGTAAATCCTCAGTTTTCTGGAGACCTCTCTCAGGTTTCTTTCCTGAACAGAAGCAAAGTGTTATAAGAGTGTTTTCAGAAGAGCAGCAGGACACAGACTGAAGGCCTCTCACTTGGGATGAGTCTGGTCTCTTTGTGGCAGGTTCCTCTCTTCCTCTGATGTGGACTGCAGTATCCACAGGTCACTCTCACAAGAATAGATCCTACATTTGGTCAAATACAAGTTTGGTGTCTCTTACATTCTAATGTGCAGTTACAGACTGAACATTCTGCATCTCAGATCATGACTTACAAATATGTTCCTGTAATGAAAACGAGTTCATTCAGCTCATTAGGATCAGGGTGCTCTCTGGTGGTGCTTCAGTGCAGTAGTGTGGTTGATACCATGGACAGCTCCATCAGCGACACATCCATCTGAGAACAGTAGGAGCAGACTGATCCTTTCATTCACAAGTTCATGACTTATTTGGAGACGACTCACCGGGACATGATGCAGCGGACTCCTGTCTCCAACTGGAACACAAATCTGGAAACAAACTGAAGACTTTGATAATGACACAGTCAGTTAAAGCTGTCAGTGTGTGTTCCTCATGTGCTCATACACACAATGACTGTACCATGACTTTAACACACACTCCTACCTCGTGTGGTGATGTGTGTCTCTCTCAGTGCTGTCCAAGCTAGAAGTGTCTTGTCTCTGTCCTCAGCACAAACAATTGTACAATTGTCTTACCTTTGGCCGAGGAATCTAAAGTCACAGCCTCCAAATCCTGTTGAAGGCTGTACATTCACACAAGAGCACATGGGTTTAAGACCCACTCTTTGTCCTTTGACAAACTGTTAAATACAGTCAAATATGACTTGTGTGTGTGAGGAAATGAAGGGGAGACATTGTACCTTTATTATTGTATTCATGAAGGTTTTAAAGTGAGTGTAGAAAAGCCCACAGGGACAGAATGTTGTAAAAGTGTATTTGCCTTTTAGTTATAGTCTACATGCATAACATCAGCTTAGTTTGGTAAATATGTCCGACCACAATGTCCATGTAAAACCAAAATGAAATTAAATTAATTAAAAAAATACAACAAAGAAAAAAGGAATCAATAAAATAAATAAAATAAATAAAATATTTGGGGACCGTAGGATTTTGTCTCTGGTGTTTGCAGACGATGTTGTCCTGCTGGTTCCAACAAACCAGGACCTTCAACATGCACTGAGACGGTTTGGAGCCGAGATAAAGATCAACATCTCCAAATCTGAGGCCATGGGGTTTGACCAGAAAAAGATGCCTCGCCCTCTCCAGGTGCAGAGGTCCTTCCTCCAGTGGAGGAGTTCAAGTAGGTTCCTACCTAGGTTCCTAAGTAGGTTCCTTAACTCCTATCTTCATCATCGTCAGCAGTGTGTATTTTTTAATGGCAGCTTCTCTGAGTTTTCATTTATTGAGAGAGGGGTGCCGCAGGGCTCATCACTTGGTCCTCTACTGTTCTCCATATTTATCAATGACCTTCCCCTTGCATGTACAGACTGTCAGATCCAACTTTATGCTGATGATAGTTATCTATTCATCCAAAGCTAATATTGCTGATATCCAACACACTATTCAAAATGACTTTAATTCAGTTCAATTATGGCTACAATCAAACAAATTGTTTCTAAACAAATCCAAAACAAATGTTTTACTGTTCCAGAAGAGAGTGTGTCCTGTTTCCAAAAATGAAATTAATCTTGTGTATTCAGATATGTCTCCAGTTCCAGTTGTCGATCGTTTTAAATATCTCGGCGTATGGCTTGATTCTTCTCTGTCCTTTAATATTCATATACAAAACATTACAAACAAAATTTCTTATCGCTTAAAATTACTTTATCAATCGATTAATTGTTTTAGCTTATCAATAAGGAAGAGGATCATTTCTCAACTGATTCTCCCCATTCTTGATTATTGCGATATAATTTATCAAAACACTACTGCCTCTGTTCTTCAGCCTCTGACTGTCTCCTACAACAGCCTGTGCAGGTTCATCCTTCGCTGTCCGTTCAGAACCCATCACTGCCTGATGTATGAGCAGCTGTCATGGCTCTCTCTGTCCTCCAGACGTCAGCTACATTGGCTACTGTTTATTTTCAAATGCATTAATCTCAGTTTTCCAGAATATTTAAAACAATATCTGATTCCTTTCCAATCCTCGTACAGTTTGCATCATGCAAATCAGTCTTTTTTTGTAGTTCCAAGAGTGAATAAAGAAGCTGGAAAACATGCATTTAAATTTAAAGCTCCGTCTGACTGGAACAGTTTGCCGCTGTCTATTCGCTCTCTAACTTCTCTGCCTCTGTTAAAATCTGCTTTGATACAATATCTCCGGTATTCATGTCAATGTTTTGATCTTAGTTTATGAGACCTAAACTTGTCTTGTCTCCCGATTATTGTTATTACCATCAATATTAATAGTATTATCTATATTTTGTGTAACATCAGTACAGTCACGATGTGTGTGTGTTTGTGTGTGTGAGTGATTGTGCGTGTATTTGTTATGGTTGCTTTTTTTTTAATTTATTTTTTATTATTACTATTTGTTTTGTGTGTTTTTTTTTTATGATTTTCTTTTGTCTTATTTGCATCTGTTTTGCTGTATCTGTCCTTGTGAAATCTTGAGGACCCCCTCGAAAACAAGATGATTCATCTCAAGGGGCTTATCCTCTAAAAATAAATAAATAAATAAATAAATAAATAAAGTATCTCGGGGTCTTGTTCACGAGTGAGTAGAGAGTAGAGCCGCTGCTTCTTCATGTCAAGAGGAGCCAGTTAAAGTGGCTCATCTGTTTCAGAGGCCTCCTGGACGCCTCCCTGAGGAGGTGTTCAGAGCATGTCCCACTGGGAGGAGACCCAGGGGAAGACCCAGGACACACTGTAGGGCCTATGTCTCTCAGCTGGCCTGGGAAGGCCTCGGGATTCCCCCGGATGAGCTGGAGTAAAAATGTGTGGATAGGGAAGTCTGGGCGTCTGTGTTTAGACAGCTGCCCTCGCAACCCAGCAATGGATAAAGCAGAATCATTGGAAGGAGGAGGGATCACAGCACCAACCCTGTAGATGGTACTCCACCTCCTCTCCTGCTGATCCTTCTCAGTTCTAGAGCAGGGGTGGCCAAACATTCAATCTGTGGCTAAAACTATATTGGTGCGCAGAGGGCCAAAGATAATTATGTGTTGCACCAAAAGGAATGACTAAACTGTCCTTAATGATTGTCTCTTTGTAGGATTCAGACTGGTTTGGACCAATGTCCTGAACCCTTCAAAGGCCATATTAGACCCTCAGACTGACCAATGTGGCCCACAGGCCCCATCTTGGGAATCCCTGCTCTACAGTGAACACAAGGCCAGGCGCACTATGCAGGAAACCACACTATAGTCAGCTTAAGCTCTTATTTGATCCATTCTCAAATACTATCAAGTCATTGTGTCATTGAGTGATTTTTGTCAAAGTTGATCTGTGTCTAATACGTTCCTACATAGTTTTCCTGACCTTTGATTTAAACATGCACATCAAAGCAGTGGGTATCGCACCAGAAACCATCAATAAATCAATCAACAAACTTTATTTCCATAAAGTTCAAAGGGCTGGTTATTGGGCGACTCCCCACAGGAGAAAGCAAAGAGTACTATGGAGGACAGAGTGAGACCTCTGCTCACATGAGGATCATCTGTGGACTTACTGGTCATACTCAATGTGCTGCTGCTCTGGAGACTTGTCAGGATTTACACTTTATGGAAGTCCTACATAGTGTTCTTTGCCTTCTCCTCTTTTGAAACTAACTATTACTGATCCTAGAACAAGGGTCTTAAACCTATAGTGCGGAGCGACCAGAGGCTCTCCAGGCCTTTCAAAGTGTCCTCTGAAAGGCTTTCTCTGTGTCTTTCATCACTGAAACTACTCAGTATTCAATAATATATCCTTATTACATCATCTATCCTTTTGTGTTCTGATGAATGAATACATGCTTTGTGTTTGATACATATATCTGTCAAAAGGCTGAAAACCCTTGTTCTAGCTAAATCTTTTTTTTGTGTTTTTTGTTTTTTTGGCTCAAGGTAAATGGCAACATTTTGCCCCAATAAATAAATCAAGAAAGAAATAAATGTCCAGAGGAGAAATGGGCTGCTGATGGTGGAGCGTGTGTCCCATGTGAAGCACTTTGTGACCTCCTCTGGTGTCAAAGTGCTGTAGAAACAGGCGTGGCCTTCTCTCCTCCTCTTCCTCCAGGACCTGTTGTCTCCAGTCTCAGTCTGAGCTTCAGTCCTCGTCTGAGTCTGAGTCTTGGAGCAGGTGGAGCTGCTGGAAGTAGTGGACGAAGCCCCCGGACGTCCCAGTAGAGGTGGAGGGGGTGGGCTCCTCCTCGACGTCCTCAGAGTAGGAGCAGCGTGGCCTCTTGGAGATGGGCTCTTCCTCTTCATCTTCATCCCTGTGGCGCCTGGACCTCCCTGGACGACGCTCCTCTTCAAAGACGGGACAGGGTGCAGGAGAAGGACTCACTGCTCGCTGCTGAGGAACCCCACAGCTGGAGCAGGAGGGTCCCACGGGGGCAGGCCGGCCCAGAAGTCCTCTGGAGGAAGACGCTGGTCGTCCTCTTCACTGTCCTCGTCTTCCTCTTCGCTGACGTCCTCCTCGGAGAGACTGTCGTAGCCAGAGTCTGCGTCATCCCAGTCCTCCTCCTCTTCATCCTCTTCATCAGAAGACTCGTGCAAGTCCCGGCCACGCATGAGGAGAAAAGCCCTACCTACCTGCAACTCACCTGCGTCCTCCTCGTCTGACGAGTAGTCAGGGAGAGGGTCCTCCGGAGCGTCCAGGGGGTCCCGAGCCGCTGCAACATATTGACAACATCAACAACTTCCTCACACACTAAAGTGTTCTTGTTTTGTCAAAGTCACGCTTCAAACACAGCAGTCCACATCATCATGAAGACAAAAGAGAAGGAGAGCACCAGTGGAGTCAGGATCAGAAGGACAGTTTCTTTGCTTTTTCTAGCAGTGAGGCCTAAGTATTTGAGTGGACTATTATCGTACATTATCTAGACTTGGTGTAGTATTAGCGGATCCCAGTGAGCTCAGTGTGCCTTCTGCAGCACTACAGTGCACCACTCTTACCACCATCAATGAGAAACACTCAGATAAACCAGTGTACAGCATCTCCAGCAATGTCTAATGTGCCTCAATGATTCCATGTCAACTATGTGACTGGGTCTGCTCATGAACTTGTATGATGCTGATACATGTTGACGCCACAAACACAACTGTACAGCCTTTCTGATCAACATGTGCCATTATCAGCTGCTGTTTTTACATGTTATCAAACGAAAAGAGAAAAGTCCACATCTGTAATGAAGCACTTTCATACAGGGCCCCAGCGCACATGCTAATGCTAATGCTAGCTCTTCACATAAACAAGTGGCTCATTGAAGTAGCCACACAATACAATAGTACTACTACTACTACTCCAACTACAATTGTTCATATCCGGTTGTGTTCACTTATTGAATCCATATTTCATGATCATTTCAGTGGTATTACCTCCAGGGAACAGGGGCAGGGCGTGGGAGGGGCGAGCCATCCTTCACAAAGTGACCGTTCAAAGATGTTTTCAGACCTGGAAAAGTGTCAACAAAGTGCTTTTGCAAAGTGTATTAGTGCCTCAGAGTTATTACCACCGCTTTATCCTCAAACGCAAATGAGACGGAGAGAGTTCACAGTTCCACACAAGCGTCAGAGACCAACAGCAAGTGAAGTGAGCGAGCAGCGGTTTGAATATATACAGCTTACGTCTCCATGACAACGACGCACCCACAGGTTATTAAACGTGATTATTGAATAAAAAGGGAAAGATTTTGGTTTCAGGTTTTTACCATAGACTGTTTTAACCATAGACTGTATATAAGTTTTAACCCAGTGATTCCCAAAGTGGGCTTTGCAGCGCCCTCTATAGGCCACAATGTGTTTATACGAAACAAGAATACAATAAATGATATATACATAAAAAATGAATCAATGACACGTTTATCACAATCATACTGATTCATCATCTTGTTGTTTCAACATTTTGTGTGTTTTAAATACAAAATTATATTTTTACTTTTGCAACTCTGGCAGTTTTTTAAAATGTTTTCGAAGGAGGCCAGTCCCTGTGCTCCTCACAGTCCCAGCAGGAGTCAGTCCCTGTGCTCCTCAGAGTCCCAGCAGGAGGCCAGTCCCTGTGCTCCTCAGAGTCCCAGCAGGAGGCCAGTCCCTGTGCTCCTCAGAGTCCCAGCAGGAGGCCAGTCCCTGTGCTCCTCAGAGTCCCAGCAGGAGGCCAGTCCCTGTGCTCCTCAGAGTCCCAGCAGGAGGCCAGTCCCTGTGCTCCTCAGAGTCCCAGCAGGAGGCCAGTCCCTGTGCTCCTCAGAGAGTCCCAGCAGCAGGCCAGTCCCTGTGCTCCTCTGAGTTCCTATTAGAGAGTACTATCTCAGGACTAAAAGGACTGTATAGGTGTAGGCCTGATATCCACTCTGGAGTGTCGGTCAGGACACAGGAGACAGGATGCGAATGTCACTTTAGCTGTCTTTAATGAAGCTCAATCAGCAGCATAGGAACCATACGTAGTGTATGTGTATGTGATCAATCAATCAAATTTTATTTATAAAGCGCTTTTCATACAAAAAGTGTAACACAAAGTGCTTTACAGTTTAGTTAAAAACAATCCAACATGCCCAGCCCTAAACCCTCCTCCCCACAGACCCCCCCAAAACCACATTTATAATTATATATACAACCACATGCGTATACACACACACACATACACACAGACACACACACACAGACACACACACACATACAAGTATAAAGTCATATCAGGTAAAAGAGGTAAAACAATAAAAAGAAATGGGGCTGGGAGCAGATGTAACCGGCTGAAGAAGCGCCATCCAAGGAGCCATCTGCACCAGGAGCAGAGAGCCGGCTGCAGCCACAGGGAACGACACAGGACCCAGAGGAGAGAGGGGCCCCAGACCCCACCAGGCCCAGGACTCAGACCCCATACATTTGTATTAAGGCAAAAGGTGCCCCCCTGGTGGTCACCTGGAAAACGGTGAAGATTTTCTAACTTTTATGCGATGATTGCATAACTTCAATCCGTCCAGATGGAGAAATGACATGGTAGAAGTCTGTGCGATGAAAATCCAGGGACTAGTACGAAGCCAAAAATGCGACACCTTAAACTGCCTGTAGGTGGCGCTGTTGCACTCACAGTTGTGTGTTGTATATCGTTGTGTTCAGGGTCATACGCTGTATTACTGATCTCATTTTTAGCCTCATCGGACAAACATTTTGCCCTAAAAAAGCTCATTTATTCACTTTCCGGCGTCCTAGCGTACATTTAAAAGAGCAAACCTGATGTGGATGGAGAGTCATTTTTGTTTGTAGTGAGGGGAGAAGATGATGTGGAGGAGCAAAGGGCAACAGGGATGAGGGTGTTGAGGGACGGTTTCCGGAGTATGGACGGTCTAGGGGCGGGGTCTGGATAGAACTGAAATTCCTTGCTGGGGGGAGCAGGGGCCGATGTTGGAGTCCAGCGGGGCAGGAATGATGTGGGATGGAGTGATGGGTTGTCAGAGGTGCGGGGGACGGGATTGGACTGAGTGGGTGATGTTTGAAATCAGGTAACGGGTGCCGACTTTATTGATATGGAGTCCATCGGGTGTGAAGAAGGGGTGGCGGTTCCAGAACAAATTAAAATTGTCAATAAAACCAAAGTTGTGCTGCTGTGATGAGTTTTGAAGCCAAGTGTTGAGTGATAGTATCCTGCTAAAACGTTCCACGCCCCGGTTCAACGTGGGCAGAGGGCCAGAGATAAAAACACATTTTCCGGTTTTTGATAAAAGGTTAAAAAGGTCCTTAAAATGGAGTTTGGTGATTTCAGATTGGCGGAGTGCAGCATCATTTGTACCAACATGTATTATGATCTGGGTTATTGTGGGGGGTGCTGTCTGTAGAAGTGCGGGTAGTTTCGTGAGGATGGTAGGGACAGTGGCTCCGGGAAAGCAGTGCGTGATGGCATTGAAGAACTTACAGTGTTTGATGATAGAATCTCCCACCAGGAGTGTAGTTGGTGCAAACAGAGGCCGTGGAGGGGGGTGTGTGACTGGAGTAGGGCCCGGGGGAGGTGGCCCCCCCGCGGCCACCTCAGCGTAGGACCTGCTTCGTGTCCCGTCTCTGGGGATTCCCTCCGCGTCAGAGCACACGAACCCTCCCACAGCAGGGACAGCGCTCCCGGGGGTATCCGGTGCCGCGTCGGGGCACAGAGATCCCCCCGGGGCTTCCCGCAGTTAGTCCTGTGTGACACCCGGAGAGCCCCGCGCTGTTTTAGAGCGTGGGAAGCTCCCCGAGCACCTGCGCACAGCCTCCTCCACCAACCTGCGGCGAGAGGACACCGTGGATGTCGTGTGGCCTCCAGGCCTCTGCTCCGCGCCGCTCCGGGTATGGGCAGCGGGCTCCGGGACTGAAGAGGAGGGAAGAGCACCGGGAGGGACAGGAGGAACAGCTGCAACCGGGGAGCGTGGGGTAAGCACCGGGGTAGAGCATGATGAGGGCTGAGGACAGGCGATTGGATCCCAGAGTGCAGTGTCGTGGAGTTGTGAGTGTCTAAGTACGGAGAGGGATATTTGCTGTGACTGTTTGAATGATATGTCCATGAAATGTTCCAGAAGTTTCTCTTTATGTATAAGTTGGGTGGATAGTTCTTTGACAGTGCGCTGAAGTTCCTCGGGGGTCATGGTGTTAACAGGTTTGGATGGGAGGATTGAAGCAAGTTGTGATTTGTATATTTGTTTATATGAGTTCGCGAGGGGAGCATCGGTGTCCATGGTGATGTGTGTGGGCAGGCTGGTTACCGGTGAAAGGCTGATAAACAGTCCAGTTAAAAGTGACAGTAATCCTTTTTGATACAGTCTGTTAAAATCCGCTTAATCCGTCGAGCAGGGCAAATAAAAACAGTAAAAGAAACTTAGTTTAAAAATAAATCATAAAAAACGTGCAGCTCAAAAAAGGCTCCAAACAAATGCGTCCGCCATCTTGCGCATGCGTATATGTTCATGCGATCGTGGTCTATAAAGAAATAAACAGTATGAGTACACAATACAATACAATACAATACAATACAATTTATTCTTGTATAGCCCTAGGTCACAACAGAAGTCATCTCAGAGGACTTAACAAAACCATTGAAATCACCAACACAGGTCAGAGAATCAACAGTTAAAACACATGAAGAATATAAAGCACACACAGAAAAAAATGTCCATACATGTTGTAGAATGCTAAAGTGTCCTGATCATCACCAATCCTTTCTGTTGGACACTAACTGTCCAACAAGACCCTCCTGCATCGACAAGGAACAACTCTTAAAAAACCCAGTGGGAAAAAGTGAGAAACCTTGGAGGAGAACTAGGGAAACCCACAGGGAGGGAGACCCATATGAGAAAGGGATCCGCTCCTCCGGACGGACAGGCTAATGATCCAGGACCTAAGCTAGCTACAGAACGTGGACCAGTGGCCGCTGAACGTGGACAGGTCCGGTGCAGGACTGAAGCACTCCCAGGCGGGTCGGGCGGGGCAGTCCGCAGGTGTCGATGGAGGAGGCCAGGCTCAGAGATCCCGTCATCGTACCATGAAACAGACAATGGGACAACGGGTGAATAGCAATGAACAAACTACAGTCAAAATCCTAATAATGCTAAACAGATAAAGTAGGAAGGAGGAGAGGATAGTGCTCAAGTTACCATACTTCTCCAGCAGGGGGCTCCCTATGCAGCTTGACTGACAGTCTGAGTTTAGCCTTCCCTGAGTCTTACCTTCCTAGCCATATGCTAAACTAAAGAGGACTGTTTTAAACCTAGCCTTGAATAAAGAGATTCATGGATTGCACACCAGGTGTGAAAACCGATCCAGGCAAACCTAATTATATATTCTATATCATATATATCACATGTACCATACATATTATATATAGTATATATAATACACAACAAAACATATAACATAATATATAGCATAATACAGCATACACACCCAGATAGCAACAGACTCCGGGGCGGATCCGCATTCGGTCCGCCACATCCGCCCCAGAATCAAATCCGCAGAGCGGACCCGCGGCGGATTCAAACCAGATCCACAGAGCGGACGCTCTCTAACCTCCGCAGAGATACGCGTGTGATCCGCGCTGCGGACGCGCCGCGCATCAACTGCATCTCGCACGCGCACAAACTGACACTCGGGGCTAACTGCATTCTCCGAAAGTCCGCTGTGAGTACATCGTCAAAGATCATTTATATTATCCCCAGTTGTGTTATAAAGTTAACTGGGGTTATAGTGTGTCTGTGTGAATGTTTTGTGCCTGCTTTTAGAGCGCAGTAAAGTTTACCAGTAAGTTTGCGTTCAATCCGAGAGTCACATATGTGTATAACCGTTAAGATAGTTTGACAGATGCTGGAGGAATACAGTCTATGAGGAATACCTTTGTAGTTAGTTTCTAGTATTTATCCGAATGTTTTTAGTTGTTGTACTTTCTTTTACGTGTAAGAGATGATTAGTATTAGTATTCCATAATTTACCACCTGGATACTGTAAGCTACTTTTAAGTGTGTATGTGCGCATGTTTGTCCGATCACAGCAGATACTACATGTAACAAATATATTTGGCACTTTTCACTGACCAGGGTTACACAAAATGTACAATTGGCTGTTCTTTTGTATTAGCAGAGGTGACAGGACGTCCGTACAGTAAACTAGAAGAACTGGAAGAAAGTATTAAGGTAGTGGTTATCAAAGCCTGGCTTGTACCGGTTTTAACAAACTCGAGGAGCCTGGGGAACTTGTATGACCCCAAGAAATCGCTGTCCTAAGAGAATAAAACAGATTGTTTATGTTGCAGATCAAAAAGCTTTCAGCAATCGGTGGGCAAGACCACAAAAAAGTCACGTGGAATATCCTGGCCTGCATTTTCAACAACAACTGTGCCCAGAAAATCAGCTGGAAAGGGGTTCATGGCAAAATACCATTCAAAAGTATGGCCTTGAAGACTCTCATTTTGGGTGAGTTCAAATACTGTCAAATACTGACATACTGTGTGCCTGGGGGTCCTCGCTACGTTTGAGTTCATTGCTTTTTAAATACAAACCTCAATGGAGCAAAATTGTGTCAATAAGCCATGATTTCATGGCTTGTGATCTATAATTTAATTCAGTTTAAAGACACAGTATTAATTGGAAGTAATCCTTATCATCAAAATGTTACATGTGCACATGTAAAATGTGCCTATTGTATGAAAGTATTATACTAAATAATCTCTTTGTATTGTTATTATTCTTCCAGAAGCTGTAAAAAGGAATAATCTCTGCCGCACAATCACGGACGTGGAGGTTTTTAAGCACTGCATTAGATGGTTTAATTTGGCAGCAGACAGAGGTCTGGCAAGGACCCGACCCATTCCACCGTCTCCATAAGTTTATGGTTTTGGGTATTATTTATTGTGTTTGCATCTTTATTATTTATTTTTATTATAAATAGACATGTTTCTGTAAGTCTATATATTGCAAAAAAATTACAAATTGAATATTACAATTATTTATACCATATTGAGTGAGATTCAGTGTGTGATTGGGCTGGTCATTTTGGTCGCCGTGTAGAGCTCCACAGATAGCCTCTACAAAATACACATGTACATAATATTGTAAATTTACATAAATATGTTTTGTGTTTACTTACAAAAATACACAATACAATACAATACAATTTATTCTTGTATAGCCCTAGGTCACAACAGAAGTCATCTCAGAGGACTTAACAAAACCATTGAAATCACCAACACAGGTCAGAGAATCAACAGTTAAAACACATGAAGAATACAGTATAAAGCACACACAGAAGAAAATGTCCATACATGTTGTAGAATGCTAAAGTGTCCTGATCATCACCAATCCTTTCTGTTGGACACTAACTGTCCAACAAGACCCTCCTGCATCGGACAAGGAACAACTCTTAAAAAACCCAGTGGGAAAAAGTGAGAAACCTTGGAGGAGAACTAGGGAAACCCACAGGGAGGGAGACCCATATGAGAAAGGGATCCGCTCCTCCGGACGGACAGACTAATGATCTAGGACCTAAGCTAGCTACAGAACGTGGACCAGTGGACGCTGAACGTGGACAGGTCCGGTGCAGGACCGAAGCACTCCCAGGCGGGTCGGGCGGGGCAGTCCGCAGGTGTAGATGGAAGAGGCCAGGCTCAGAGATCCCGTCATCGTACCATGAAACAGACAATGGGACAACGGGTGAATAGCAATGAACAAACTACAGTCAGAATCCTAAAAATGCTAAACAGATAAAGTAGGAAGGAGGAGAGGATAGTGCTCAAGTTACCATACTTCTCCCAGCAAACTGACTCCCTATGCAGCTTGACTAACACTCTGAGGAGTTTAACCTTCTCAAATTCATTGTTATTTATATCAGGATCACATCTGGTGTCAAAATGTAAATCTTTGGTAAAACCTGTTTCTTTTTGTCTCAAATGTAAATACCAGCTTACATAATAGTAAGGTTACATAATATTCTATATGCATTCTTGTCTCATAAAATAAATGATACTAAAATAATAGTAATATGATTACATTTCCATGAGCCCTCACAACTTTACACACAACTTTTTAATGAGGTTCAGCTCCCACTGAACTAGAACAGTGAAGTGAAATCAACATTTAATATCAGGCTTCTACTTTCAACTTGTCAAAAGCCTTATTTTTTTTACTGTCCATTATTTTTTATCCATGCTGCCTTCATTTAAAAAATAAAAATTTCTATATAAATGTATCCACTCAATTATATCAGCTACATTAAGGAGAACAGAGACTGAATTGTGCCACTGACACTTCTTAAAACATGCCGAGGTTTGAGGTGGGGTAGCGAGACAGTGGACCCAAGGATGCAGACTTGATGTTTCAAAAAGGTAAATTTTATAACACAAACAAAAGCCATAACCGGAACACAGGTATAAAAAAAGTACAAACAAAATCACCAAAAACCACACTAGGAGAACCAAAACAAAGTGAAAATGCAAAGAAATGCAGCATGTGTGAGCAGAAAATTATCTCATTTCAAAGCCGGAAAACACCTGCAGCTGCCTTTTGTCCATCATTTCCTTGCAGAACTCCTCATAGTCTGCCTGCAAACTAAACATGAACATGAACGGTTCACTGAGGTCTTCTTTATACTCTTCATCCAGGCCATCACACATGCACAGCATTTCCACTGCCCTCAAGGAATCTTCCTTGTTCATGGTGATGACCTGGGGAAGGTAAAGTTTTCCCTTGAAGGATCTTGTGCCACACCACCTTGCTGCCGTTAAGGTGTCCATAAGCAGGGAATCCTCCTAATGAAAAATTAAGAAAATGAATATTAAAATAGAGGTTGAAGAAGGCAGCAAACAGTGAAATAAGAAAAGCTCACAACGGGTAACATACTCCGTTCCCAGTTCCCACTTCCGGCAAGCTCTCAGCCTTTGCTAGAAAGGAAACAGATTATGGTTCTTAAAGGTATAATAACAATGCAAGTTCTAAAAAAGATCAGTAGCTTATTTTAAGTATACTGGTTTAATGAAAATTGAGAAATTACAGCAAAACCAGCTACGTCACATCCCATCTCTACAACCTTGGGGGTTGTGTACAATAATACTGTTTTGAACAATACCTGATGCTTCAGAGACAGATTCTGAAAGCCGAATACTTTTTGGAGGGACCACTTCCAGATCCTGAAATAAACGGGGGGGATTATGCTTTAGTCTGCAAGCAATAGTTTGACTACAGGACAAATTAATCAACTCTCACCTGTTTTCCTTTTTGCTTTCTCCGTCTTTTTCTTTCCTGCAATCTGGTTTCCTTAGACCTTGATGATGTAATGACAACATTAATTTACTATGAAAACATTCATGTTGGTCTGTTGACCGTGAAAGGATCTGATTCAAAAGTGTGATCATGAGGGCACTTACGGCATGGGGAAGTTCTGTAGGAGGACAAGACACCACCATCTCCTAATTTGCAGCATGTTTTCCTTTGAAAATAGAAAGGAAGATTCAAATATGTGTTCAGGAATGATAAGTTGTATACTAAGCGTAATGTGTCACAATTTTCACATACCTCTCTGAAGTCACAATTGGCCCCCATTACAATGTACAGCGTGTACTGTAAGTCAAGAGGTACTGGTTAATGTACTAATGTCATGCATATTTCCCCAGGATACAATTTTCCAATACATATAATGTGTTTTTAATGTAGCAAGCAAACATTTTACAGATAACAGCAAAGATATAACATACTGAATAGGTCTTACCATCAAAACAAACACGCCACAGTTGTTGGAGCACCCTTGCTTTGTTAGGCCCTGAGGTGTGAACAAGGTCTTTTAATAAAAGAATGGCAAGAAAATAGTAAATGTTAGCAAATACTATGAAGTAACGTGACCTGAACATCATTCACGCCAAGCTCCCTCCAGGGGCCAGGAGACAGGCTGTGAGCAATGTGTCTGTGCAAAGAGTAAGCAGAAGTAACTAAAAGTAACTGAACTAAAATCAACTTTTGATTCAAATGCATAAACACTTTGAACAAAGTTGAAACTGAACAAGAGGTTGGAACTTGAAACGGGCTTGAACAGAACGGCCCCACACAAATAAGATATAGAGTTCTGTTTCCATTTATTTTATTTTATTAATTAATTATTTTAATTTGTTTAATGAATCAAAATAGTTAATGCATGGAATATTTTAGATCAAATAAAATATTTGATCTAAAATATGAATCTAAAACCCAGAAAAGTCGTTTTTAAGTCCAGGTTTATATAATTTTCGCTGCAACAGTAATGCTAGGTATACTAGATTAGAAGTCCAACCGTGCAGAATGCAGATACATACAAGTATAACTTATTTTAAAATAAAAATAATGTTACTTCCTTCCTTGTCGGTAACAAATATAGCAAAGTTGCACGTTAAAACAGAATGAAAAAACTGGCCTACAGTACCTCCATTCTGCCAGCTACTTCGCTCTTCTTCTCCTCTGCTTCTTCTCCTTCTCTGTCATACGCACAGTCTTCAATGCCTAGCTCCCGCTCGGCGGAGCTCAACGTGGGCGGAGTCAAACGTTTGACTCCGCCCACGTTGAGCTCCGCCCCGATCTGCGGACTGCAGTCAGGGGCTTCTCGAATGATGGGCCACGGGTTTCCAGGATAGTTCCAATAGTGATTTCAATAGCAACGGATGCAATGGTAACGGTAGCAAAGGTCGATAAGGCAACCATTGATATGTAATAGTCACTATGACAACCATCACTAGGGGAATTTTTATGTCAATGGTCACCTTGGAAACCGTGCCATAATTCCCCGTGGCATCCATAGTTATGCGATAGTCACTATGGCGACCATCACTAATGGAATTGTTATGTCAATGGTCACCTTGGAAACCGTGCCATAATTCCCCGTGGCATCCATAGTTATGCGATAGTCACTATGGCGACCATCACTAATGGAATTGTTAGGTCAATGGTCACCTTGGAAACCGTGCCATAATTCCCCATGGCATCCCTAGTTATGCGATAGTCACTATGGCGACCATCACTAATGGAATTGTTATGTCAATGGTCACCTTGGAAACCGTGATATCCATCACTATTGCACTGGTCACTATGGAAACCACAGCTATGCAATCATCTCTGATTTCCATAGCAACCGTTTTCATGCCATAGAAGGCAATAGAGTGAATGGAAAAACTTGTTACATACTTATTTATCTTGAATAAAAATATATAAAGCACCTCAAATTAAATATTGCTCACTTTATTTTTCACATAAAAGGCCAAAAAAAAAACCACAGAAAATGCAGTCACGTGTACAAACAGGTATGTAAAGGTCATAGAATTATTGAGTTGGATTTATAAGATCCACCAAGCGCGGGTTTAGAGCAGCAAAAGCGACACTGTTGCAGCACAGTATCAGTAGAGTTTTTTGGATGTGCCGAAATGGTACGTGAGGTTTTCATGACCCACCACTACTGAATACATATTTCTTTGAACATCATGAAGGAAGCCCCGCAATGAAGTAGGGCATCAAAAAATTTGCAATATTCTCTTATTGTTCCTCACCACGGAAATCTTTAGTAAAAGGCGAAAGATTTATACGCTCTGAAGAGAAACAAGAGTGCCCAAATGTCGGGCCCCGGGAGAACAAAAACATTAGACCTGGCGGTTCTATCGTGGTTGATCAGCTGCTAAAGTCCACCTAATTTGACCAGTTTACACGTGCAAATGCTCTGTCTGATAGTGATGTGCTTAACGTGCCGGGTCTTCGAAGCGTGTACCGAGTAAAAAAGGGGCGTATTTTTTGAAGAAAAGAAAAGAAAAGAAAAGAAAAGAAAAGAGAAGAGAAGAGAAAAGAAAAGTAAAGCTTTCCTTGTACGTGAGATCAGGGGAGAGCGCGTACGCAGTCCCCCACTATCAGAAATTATGCAGTTGAGATTCCCACATTTGGGGAATTCACAAAGGTCAGCACACCCGGTCAGTGCAATGGATGAGCCTCGCCTTGGGTGAACCACCTTCATGATCATGGTCTCGCCCCTGCCAGGTAAGTATGAATTGCTTGGATCAGAGCCAAGCCCCTGCTCCTGGGACGGTGAGCTGGCCAGCATGGTTCAAAGCAAAAGACCTCATTGGTCCCACCTTTGACAACAACAACGCACTGAAGAGAAACAAGAGTGCCTGAATGATGGGCCACGGGTTTCCAGGATAGTTCCAATAGTGATTTCAATAGCAACGGATGCAATGGTAACGGTAGCAAAGGTCGATAAGGCAACCATTGATATGTAATAGTCACTATGACAACCATCACTAGGGGAATTTTTATGTCAATGGTCACCTTGGAAACCGTGCCATAATTCCCCGTGGCATCCATAGTTATGCGATAGTCACTATGGCGACCATCACTAATGGAATTGTTATGTCAATGGTCACCTTGGAAACCGTGCCATAATTCCCCGTGGCATCCATAGTTATGCGATAGTCACTATGGCGACCATCACTAATGGAATTGTTAGGTCAATGGTCACCTTGGAAACCGTGCCATAATTCCCCATGGCATCCCTAGTTATGCGATAGTCACTATGGCGACCATCACTAATGGAATTGTTATGTCAATGGTCACCTTGGAAACCGTGATATCCATCCCTATTGCACTGGTCACTATGGAAACCACAGCTATGCAATCATCTCTGATTTCCATAGCAACCGTTTTCATGCCATAGAAGGCAATAGAGTGAATGAAAAAACTTGTTACATACTTATTTATCTTGAATAGAAATATATAAAGCACCTCAAATTAAATATTGCTCACTTTATTTTTCACATAAAAGGCCAAAAAAAAAACCACAGAAAATGCAGTCACGTGTACAAACAGGTATGTAAAGGTCATAGAATTATTGAGTTGGATTTATAAGATCCACCAAGCGCGGGTTTAGAGCAGCAAAAGCGACACTGTTGCAGCACAGTATCAGTAGAGTTTTTTGGATGTGCCGAAATGGTACGTGAGGTTTTCATGACCCACCACTACTGAATACATATTTCTTTGAACATCATGAAGGAAGCCCCGCAATGAAGTAGGGCATCAAAAAATTTGCAATATTCTCTTATTGTTCCTCACCACGGAAATCTTTAGTAAAAGGCGAAAGATTTATACGCTCTGAAGAGAAACAAGAGTGCCCAAATGTCGGGCCCCGGGAGAACAAAAACATTAGACCTGGCGGTTCTATCGTGGTTGATCAGCTGCTAAAGTCCACCTAATTTGACCAGTTTACACGTGCAAATGCTCTGTCTGATAGTGATGTGCTGAGCGTGCCGGGTCTTCGTAGCGTGTACCGAGTAAAAAAGGGGCGTATTTTTTGAAGAAAAGCAAAGAAAAGAAAAGAAAAGAGAAGAGCTTTCCTTGTACGTGAGATCAGGGGAGAGCGCGTACGCAGTCCCCCACTATCAGAAATTATGCAGTTGAGATTCCCACATTTGGGGAATTCACAAAGGTCAGCACACCCGGTCAGTGCAATGGATGAGCCTCGCCTTGGGTGAACCACCTTCATGATCATGGTCTCGCCTCTGCCAGGTAAGTATGAATTGCTTGGATCAGAGCCAAGCCCCTGCTCCTGGGACGGTGAGCTGGCCAGCATGGTTCAAAGCAAAAGACCTCATTGGTCCCACCTTTGACAACAACAACGCACTGAAGAGAAACAAGAGTGCCTGAATGATGGGCCACGGGTTTCCAGGATAGTTCCAATAGTGATTTCAATAGCAACGGATGCAATGGTAACGGTAGCAAAGGTCGATAAGGCAACCATTGATATGTAATAGTCACTATGACAACCATCACTAGGGGAATTTTTATGTCAATGGTCACCTTGGAAACCGTGCCATAATTCCCCGTGGCATCCATAGTTATGCGATAGTCACTATGGCGACCATCACTAATGGAATTGTTATGTCAATGGTCACCTTGGAAACCGTGCCATAATTCCCCGTGGCATCCATAGTTATGCGATAGTCACTATGGCGACCATCACTAATGGAATTGTTAGGTCAATGGTCACCTTGGAAACCGTGCAATAATTCCCCATGGCATCCCTAGTTATGCGATAGTCACTATGACGACCATCACTAATGGAATTGTTATGTCAATGGTCACCTTGGAAACCGTGATATCCATCCCTATTGCACTGGTCACTATGGAAACCACAGCTATGCAATCATCTCTGATTTCCATAGCAACCGTTTTCATGCCATAGAAGGCAATAGAGTGAATGAAAAAACTTGTTACATACTTATTTATCTTGAATAGAAATATATAAAGCACCTCAAATTAAATATTGCTCACTTTATTCTTCACATAAAAGGCCAAAAAAAATAGCACAGAAAATGCAGTCACGTGTACAAGCAGGTATGTAAAGGTCATAGACATATTGAGTTGGATTTATAAGATCCACCAAGCGCGGGTTTAGAGCAGCAAAAGCGACACTGTTGCAGCACAGTATCAGTAGAGTTTGTTGGATGTGCCGAAATGGTACGTGAGGTTTTCATGACCCACCACTACTGAATACATATTTCTTTGAACATCATGAAGGAAGCCCCGCAGTGAAGTAGGGCACCAAAAAATTTGCAATATTCTCTTATTGTTCCTCACCACGGAAATCTTTAGTAAAAGGCGAAGGATTTATACGCTCTGAAGAGAAACAAGAGTGCCCAAATGTCGGGCCCCGGTAGAACAAAAACCTTAGGCCTGGCGGTTCTATCGTGGTTGATCAGCTGCTAAAGTCCACCTAATTTGACCAGTTTACACGTGCAAATGCTCTGTCTGATAGTGATGTGCTGAGCGTGCCGGGTCTTCGAAGCGTGTACCGAGTAAAAAAGGGGCGTATTTTTTGAAGAAAAGCAAAGAAAAGAAAAGAAAAGAGAAGAGCTTTCCTTGTACGTGAGATCAGGGGAGAGCGCGTACGCAGTCCCCCACTATCAGAAATTATGCAGTTGAGATTCCCACATTTGGGGAATTCACAAAGGTCAGCACACCCGGTCAGTGCAATGGATGAGCCTCGCCTTGGGTGAACCACCTTCATGATCATGGTCTCGCCTCTGCCAGGTAAGTATGAATTGCTTGGATCAGAGCCAAGCCCCTGCTCCTGGGACGGTGAGCTGGCCAGCATGGTTCAAAGCAAAAGACCTCATTGGTCCCACCTTTGACAACAACAACGCACTGAAGAGAAACAAGAGTGCCTGAATGATGGGCCACGGGTTTCCAGGATAGTTCCAATAGTGATTTTAATAGCAACGGATGCAATGGTAACGGTAGCAAAGGTCGATAAGGCAACCATTGATATGTAATAGTCACTATGACAACCATCACTAGGGGAATTTTTATGTCAATGGTCACCTTGGAAACCGTGCCATAATTCCCCGTGGCATCCATAGTTATGCGATAGTCACTATGGCGACCATCACTAATGGAATTGTTATGTCAATGGTCACCTTGGAAACCGTGCCATAATTCCCCGTGGCATCCATAGTTATGCGATAGTCACTATGGCGACCATCACTAATGGAATTGTTAGGTCAATGGTCACCTTGGAAACCGTGCCATAATTCCCCATGGCATCCCTAGTTATGCGATAGTCACTATGGCGACCATCACTAATGGAATTGTTATGTCAATGGTCACCTTGGAAACCGTGATATCCATCCCTATTGCACTGGTCCCTATGGAAACCACAGCTATGCAATCATCTCTGATTTCCATAGCAACCGTTTTCATGCCATAGAAGGCAATAGAGTGAAGGAAAAAACTTGTTACATACTTATTTATCTTGAATAGAAATATATAAAGCACCTCAAATTAAATATTGCTCACTTTATTCTTCACATAAAAGGCCAAAAAAAATAGCACAGAAAATGCAGTCACGTGTACAAGCAGGTATGTAAAGTAGTGATGGCAATATGAAGCCCCATGAAGCCTTGAGGGATCGCAGCCTATTACTCGGCCCATGAGTCGAAGGCTCGAGGTGAATCATGCTCCACTACGCCATCATGTGGACAAAGAAATACATAACACTCTTAAGTGCTTACAATGAATGGTGAGATCTAATGTTAAAATGTATATTTACAATCTATGGTCTAACGTGTTGTGTTTGAAATGATGCTTCATGAACTATGAACTATTTGAGTCTTTCAGTCAATTGTGTTGATACAACAAACACATCCAAAGTAATACAGTTCTACAGAAAGTGATTAATGGAGGAAAAACTACCAAGAGGTGGATTAATTAAACACAACAAACCATTTATTCCCAATAAATAAATAAATTTACTTTGCAACACAAAATTTATTATGGGTAGACCAGGATTCGAACGCTATATCTTCTGCTTCGGAGTCCGTCATAGACCGACTGCGCCACACAGCTGTTGTGAAATGTATTATCCAGCGTATTATTACTGATAACTTGAAGCCTTGATATATGAGGTTTTACTAAAGTGAAAAGTTTTTAATTGTATTTCATATGAAGTAGTTTCTCTAGACTTAGTACAGGACTGCTCCACATCACGCACACACACGTACGCACACACACGTACGCACACACACGTACGCACACAGAGGCAGACTGGGACAGCCAATACAGTCTATGGTACAGCCGCGGATCACAAAGCACCTGTCAAAGCAATGCACTCTCCGAACTATATGAAGCACTATATGAACCGTCACGTGGTGCGGCCGCTACGCGAGGCTTCGAACGTCACCACACACGTGACCAATACACGCCTCGACCCACACTTCACAAGAAACGCCCCCAGATTACTCGGTCCACGCTTCGAAGACTCGGTCCGCTCAGCACATCACTAATGTAAAGGTCATAGACATATTGAGTTGGATTTATAAGATCCACCAAGCGCGGGTTTAGAGCAGCAAAAGCGACACTGTTGCAGCACAGTATCAGTAGAGTTTGTTGGATGTGCCGAAATGGTACGTGAGGTTTTCATGACCCACCACTACTGAATACATATTTCTTTGAACATCATGAAGGAAGCCCCGCAGTGAAGTAGGGCATCAAAAAATTTGCAATATTCTCTTATTGTTCCTCACCACGGAAATCTTTAGTAAAAGGCGAAGGATTTATACGCTCTGAAGAGAAACAAGAGTGCCCAAATGTCGGGCCCCGGGAGAACAAAAACCTTAGGCCTGGCTGTTCTATCGTGGTTGATCAGCTGCTAAAGTCCACCTAATTTGACCAGTTTACACGTGCAAATGCTCTGTCTGATTGACTGCATTGGTTGATTTAAAACACAACCAACACATTCCACATGTATATAAGGCATTAAAAAGAGAAGAAAGAAAAAGGAAATTAACAGCAAAGCACTAAGAAATCTGCCACAATGACTTTTACAATAAAGAGGAGGTGCACCGTTCCTGGAGGTACTGCAATACCAGGTCAATGCATGGAGAGGACAGAGCAAGCTCCTAATTCCATCTCCCAGTTCCAAAAATCAATTTAATATATGGTCCCCCATGTAGGGGACGCATCAGATATTAAACTGATAAGAACAGATACTACACTTGATCTTGGCCAAAAGGCCGAGAAGCGATGCCAGACAAATGTGGCAGTAATTCTGTGGATTTCTGCTGACAAACCTTTGCCACATGGTTGACAGCATCCTGTCGTCAGCGAAAAGAAAAGGAAAGAAAAGCTTTCCTTGTACGTGAGATCAGGGGAGAGCGCGTAGGCAGTCCCCCACTATCAGAAATTATGCAGTTGAGATTCCCACATTTGGGGAATTCACAAAGGTCAGCACACCCGGTCAGTGCAATGGATGAGCCTCGCCTTGGGTGAACCACCTTCATGATCATGGTCTCACCCCTGCCAGGTAAGTATGAATTGCTTGGATCAGAGCCAAGCCCCTGCTCCTGGGACGGTGAGCTGGCCAGCATGGTTCAAAGCAAAAGACCTCATTGGTCCCACCTTTGACAACAACAACGCACTGAAGAGAAACAAGAGTGCCTGAATGATGGGCCACGGGTTTCCAGGATAGTTCCAATAGTGATTTCAATAGCAACGGTAACGGTAGCAAAGGTCGATAAGGCAACCATTGATATGTAATAGTCACTATGACAACAATCACTATGGGAATTTTTATGTCAATGGTCACCTTGGCAACAATAGTTATGCAATAGTCCAGTGTCTCCCAAAGTGGGGTCCGCGGCCCCCTGGTGGGCCGCAAGGGTACTGCAGGGGGGCCGCGGGAGGTCATAAAAAAAAAAAAAAATTATTTAATGTTAAATTTATAATGTTTTGTTTGTAATATTAAAATATTTGTGTTCATTATTTGACTTGAATAATCCACTGTAATCATTTTTGTATTACAATGTTTGTAGCAGAGGCTATTTCCCCAAAATAAAATAACCAGAAGAGCCTATTCTTAATGTTGTCTTCTTGGTTATTATTTTGGGGGGCCACGCAGACCCGTCAGATTTTTAAGGGGGCCTCGGTGTTACTGAGTTTGGGAATGGCTGCAATAGTCAATATGGCGACCATCACTATTGGAATTGTTATGTCAATGGTCACCTTGGAAACCGTGCCATAATTCCCCATGGCATCCATAGTTATGCGATAGTCACTATGGCGACCATCACTAATGGAATTGTTATGTCAATTGTCACCTTGGAAACCGTGATATCCATCACTATAGCACTGGTCACTATGGAAACCACAGCTATGCAATCATCTCTGATTTCCATAGCAACCGTTTTCATGCCATAGAACGCAATAGACTGAATGGAAAAACTTGTTACATACTTATTTATCTTGAATAAAAATATATAAAGCACCCCAAATTAAATATTGCTCACTTCATCTTTCATCTTTCATTTTCAACTAAAATCTTGGCCACGGTTTGAGAAGTTTGGTTCTTGGTCGGATACGCTTGTGCATAGCGAGAAAAATGATCTGTAACCACCAAAACATTGCTTAAGCCTTTGGAATCAGACTCCATAGATAAAAAATCAATACATACAAGATCCATAGGGCCACTGCTCGAAATCTGGTGCAGCGTAGCAGCTCTTTGGACAGGAGTCTTTCGCGTTATGCATTCACCACAACTTTTAATGTGTTGCTCAGCATCACGTGACATTTTAGGCCAGTAGAACCTCCTACGAAGCAAATCCAGGGTTCTCTCTGTACCAAGATGTCCTGACTCGTTGTGCACTGACTGCAACACAACTCCATGATATTGCTTTGGCAGGACTAGTTGAGCAATGTCATCACCGGATTGCTGTTTGGTGATGCGATAGAGCAGGCCATCTTGTATGGTTTACTTGTCCTTCTCACGTTTTAGGTGAGACAATTCGGGACCAGTATCTGTCCATTGGTGCTGCTGGACAGCTTTTACGGCTGGACCAATTATTGGATCTTCTTTCTGAGCTTTCGCTAGATCAGTGTTAGAAACGTGTTCAAGGGACTGCAATTCCATTTTCAGTGGAAATGCATAGATGTCTGGTATGCATTCTGGGGAAGCACCAGTTTGATCAATGCATCTTGCAGGGTGGTTTGGAGTTTCTGACACATGGACTTTTTTGCAGATGGACTTGACAGCAGCCTCGGGAATTGTCTCCCATTCTGTACTCTCAAAGTTTCTGGACAGGATGTCTGCGTCGATATTGTGCTTGCCGGGACGATAGTGAACATCGAAGTCATATGTGGAAAGCGCTGCAAGCCACCGGTGTCCTACTGCATTGAGCTTGGCAGTAGACAGCACGTACGTCAACGGATTGTTATCTGTACGCACTGTAAATCGAGCACCGTATAAGTAGTCATGAAAGCGATCCACCACTGCCCACTTTAACGACAGAAACTCCAGTTGATGTACTGGGTATCTCTTCTCAGCCTGGCTTAGCTTCCTGCTAGCAAATGCAACTGGCCTTAACTCATTGTCCTCTTGTGGCTGGTACAGGACAGCTCCCAGTCCTTTGAAGCTTGCATCCACATGAAGTTCATAGGGCTTGGTTGGATCTGCAAAAATCAGAACAGGTGCATTCGTAAGGCAGTAGATGATCTGGTGAAAGGCTTGGGTGAAGGAATCATCCCACCGCTCTCCAAAGGGTTCAGACTCTTTCAGGTAGGACTTGTTTTGTTCAGCACTCTTCTTTCGGTTCTTTTGCGTTGGGGCATAACCTTTGGTTAGTTCCGTCAAGGGTCTTACAATAGCAGCATAGTTTGCAATAAATCTTCGGTAGTATCCACAAAAGCCCAAGAACGAACAAAGAGACTTAAGATCTTTTGGTTGAGGCCAGGAAGTGACAGCCTCAATCTTCTGGGGATCAGGGGAGACACCTTGAGCAGACACGATATGCCCCAAGTATTTCACTTCTGGCTGGCAGAACTGGCATTTATCCAAGGAGATCTTCAGCCCCACTTCTGCGAGACGATCCAAAACTTTGAGCAGTCGCTCTTCATGTTCCTCCAAAGATTTTCCAAAGACTATGAGGTCGTCTAAGTAGACCAAGACCTGAAGGAGATTCATATCACCGACTGTCCTCTCCATTAATCTTTGAAAAGTTGCAGGGGCACCAGTTATTCCCTGTGGCATTCTTTCGAATTGGAAGAAGCCGAGCGGGCAGATGAATGCTGTCTTCTCTTTATCTTCCTCTGCCATGGGAATCTGATAGTACCCACTGCGCAGATCGAGCACAGTAAACCATTTGCTTCCCGACAGTGAATTGAGGGCTTCATCAATGCAGGGAGTAGTGTATTGGTCTGGCACTGTTCTGCTGTTGAGAAGCCTGTAGTCTATGCACATCCGGATTGTTCCGTTCTTCTTCCGAACTATTACAATCGGTGAGGCATAAGGGCTACGGGACTCTTTGATGATACCAGCACACAGCAACTCTTGCAGATGTTTTCTGACATCCTCTATGTCTGCTGGAGCCAAGCGGCGTGATCTTTGACGAAAAGGTCTTGAGTCAGATAGACGGATGGTGTGTTCCACATCTTTGGCAAGACCAACATCCCACTCATCGACCGAGAAGACTTGAGAGCGTTCAACCAGTTTCTTTCTAAGCCGGTCTTTCCACTCTTGAGGCACGGGTGAGTCACAAAAGTCAATCTGATTGCTGCTCAACTGGCCTCATTTTTGCCTGTTGGGGTGGCATAGAGATGACACTTTCAGTGCGATACATGTGTCCTATGACTGTGCCAACTGGTATTTTGGTTTCTCAGCCAGATTGATTTTGCACTAGGATTCGGAAACTGTTGGTCTGAACAGCATTGGCAGGCACAACCATGGGCTGCAGCAGTACATCACCCGGCAGTGGAGATAAAGGGGATGAGTCAACCATTAAGATCTCTTGACCAACTGTCTGTTTGAAGTTGACTTTACAGTTTATTTGCATATCTTCTCCCGGAGGTAGGGATAAGGGGTTGGGGCCTTGCCATATCACACAGCCTACTTCATCTTCACTGGAGGTCATGGTTTCAGTTACCACATTTCTCCATTGACCTTTGGCCTTGATCCCCAACGTTTTGGTTATGTCAACACCATTTTTCTTGCATTGCTGCACCAAACTGCGGACATGACTTGTGTTAGTTCCAACAATGACAGGAACATGTTCTTCTTTTGGGCTTGGGCAGATCAGGGCCAGAACTGTCACAATGTGGTTGCTGCCTGTTACTTCGGCTGGGTACTCAAAATCGACCACAACATAACCACGATATGGGTAGCTTACGTTAGACTCACTTAAACCCCAAAGGTCGAGACCAGTCACTGGTTGCACTGGGACAGAAGACAAATGGGCTTTATACCAGGACTCAAATATTATGGTGACCTGCGATCCACTGTCGAATAGGGCGTCACAGGGTGTTCCATTGACTTTGAGGGGTACAACACTTGGTGGCCCAATTAGTCCTTCTGGAATGCCAACGGGGGTGACTGTTGTGAGCAAACCTTGTTTGACATGGCAGTTAGTGTCAGGGGGATTACTTGTCGTAGTACTTTCTTTCATTGTCTTGACAGCTTGAATGAGCTTCCTTATAACCTTGCCCTGGTTTTCCGGATTGTGACACTTAGCCGCATAATGTCCTTGTTCACCACAACGATAGAAGAACTGTTCGTCGAGTGGCTGTCGGTTTCTGTTGGGAGTGCTTGTCTTTGGTGAAACATCAACTTTTTTTACTCTAGCGGGCTTTTCAGACAGTTCAGGAGCATCATCTTTTTGTTCCACTTTATGCTGAAGAGAAACAAGAGTGCCTGAATGACGGGCCACGGGTTTCCAGGATAGTTCCAATAGTGATTTCAATAGCAACGGATGCAATGGTAACGGTAGCAAAGGTTGATAAGGCAACCATTGATATGTAATAGTCACTATGACAACAATCACTATGGGAATTTTTATGTCAATGGTCACCTTGGCAACAATAGTTATGCAATAGTCAATATGGCGACCATCACTATTGGAATTGTTATGTCAATGGTCACCTTGGAAACTGTGCCATAATTCCCCATGGCATCCATAGTTATGCGATAGTCACTATGGCGACCATCACTAATGGAATTGTTATGTCAATGGTCACCTTGGAAACCGTGATATCCATCACTATAGCACTGGTCACTATGGAAACCACAGCTATGCAATCATCTCTGATTTCCATAGCAACCGTTTTCATGCCATAGAACGCAATAGACTGAATGGAAAAACTTGTTACATACTTATTTATCTTGAATAAAAATATATAAAGCACCCCAAATCAAATTTTGCTCACTTTATTCTTCACATAAAAGGCCAAAAAAATAGTACAGAAAATGCACTCACGTGTACAAACAAAAGAAAAGAAAAGAAAACTTACCTTTCCTTGTACGTGAGATCAGGGGAGAGCGCGTACGCAGTCCCCCACTATCAGAAATTATGCAGTTGAGATTCCCACATTTGGGGAATTCACA